GGTACTAATTTCCAGGCATCTTAAGATTTCGTACGATTTTTACAGCGCTCTCAACCTAACACCAACATCAAAAGTGAGGCGAACCAAGGTCACAAGTGCGGCTCGAAACGCGAGACGGGTGTGCTTGTCAACCAAAGGACATCAGGAGCTCCAGCAGGTGTGCAAGTCGATGGCATGCACCAGCGGAACTGCAGTCAGGCGTCTTTGTAAGATGTAAGTAGCATGCTTTTTAGCCTGCTATTAGAAATTGAGTAGTGTAATTATAACATTTTTAGTTTCTTTGTTATGGTGTTTTTCTAGTTAATAGCTTATTTCGAGCGAGCGAAGGGAAGTCATTCATAGAATAGCAGACATTTCTGAGTATCATTAGCGGCCGGCCGGCCGGCAGTATTCACACTTATGCAAGGTGTGTATCTCCGCAGTCCGCAACCACTCCACCGAGTCATTCAATAATACTCCAATACACCAATCATTCATCAATACACCGAGTCTTCAATAAAGGGTTAGCTATTTCCATTCTTTAAAGTATTAACTTGTTCCACAAACATCCCAAATGCAATGAATTCCCAAAGCACAGACGTATGACTGGTTAATAGGTATCTGGAGTGGTAATATTCAGGTTGTGCTACCTGGTTCCATCAGATACCTCAGAACGGTGTCATCGAGTGCCGCGCCTGATCCTGTGACATCACCAGTCCAGGCTCAGGAGCAAACCATGAAGGAACATGCTCACCAGGTGGAAAAGTCCCTGCAGGAGTATGCAAAAAAGGCCAAAGAACAAGTCAAAGTTGTCGAACAGTCAGTCATGCAACACAAAGCTTCGTACGCTGACACTGTTAAGGGCACATGTAGCGAGATTGCAAATGTGGTGAAATCTCAGCTAGCCATGCTCCCCAAAGCAAATGTGGTTAGTGAAAGGAAAAATGTGCAGGAGTTGTCAAAGGTGCTGGATGACCACTTGGACAAGGAGCGACGCAAAGCAAACGTTGTAATACACAATCTCCCTGAACAGGACGGCAGCACAGTGGGCGAAAGGTCGGCTAAAGACATAGCCCTCTTCACCACCATTCTGAAAGATGTCATGAAGATCCATGCTCCAGCATCAAAGTCATTCAGAGTTGGTAAGAAGTATGAGGACAAGCCAAGACTACTGATAGTTACTCTAGAAAATGCTGCTTGCAAACATGACATCCTGAAAGGGGCCCCCCAACTCCGACATTCCGAACAGTATGGGAACATATATATCACCCCAGACCTCACCCAGAAAGAAAGGGAGACTGGCAAAAAGTTGAGAGCAGAAATGGCAGCTCGCAGAAAGGCTGGTGAAGCCAACTTGACAATCAGAGGGGGAAAATTGTACAGGTACCCGCTGGCGTGGTGGAGGGAGGCAGTAGGGCTCCTGTTGTCCTCTCTGGTGGCAGTGGGGCACAAGCACAGGCAACATCTAATGGAGAGGCTCAAAGTGGAGAATCTACACGCGCCCCAGCTGTCCCCGGTGGTGACGGCAGGGCACAGGCTGTGCAACGACCACTCACCACCCCAACACAGGCCAGTTCTGCCCCTGCTGTGCAGAAGTGACTAGGTCAGCCTCCAGCTAGCCACAAGCCCAGGAGTCTGTGTGTGTTATACACAAATGCTGACCAGTTCGTGAGTAAGCGGGATGACATGTGCATGCTCATCTGTAATGACGAGCCTGACCTGATTATGGTAACTGAGACAATTCCTAAGGCCCAAAAAGTTCCCATAGCCCCCGCTCTCCTTCACATACCTGGATACACACTCTACACCAATTTCTCGCTATCATTTCCTAATCTTGGATGCAGCGGCATAAGAGGAGTATGCATCTACGCAGCTGATTATCTCAGGGTGTCAGAAGTCTCTCTCAGCTCATCGTCAGTGGAACATGTGTGGCTTAGACTGTCACTGATTGGGAGTGCTTGTCTGCTGCTGGGATGCGTTTACCGCAGTCCGTCAAGATCTGATGAAGAGCATGCCACTCACCTGGGTCAGCTCATTCGACAGGCAAGCTCGATGTCCTACTCGCATCGGGTGATTGTAGGAGATTTCAACTTTCCCCAGATCAATTGGGAAACCGAAGCATCCAACGCACCTGACACCCATCTTTCTCAGACTTTTCTCGACACAATACATGACTGCTACCTTTTCCAGCACGTCCGCTCTCCTACTAGATTTCGATTGGGTGAAACTCCAAATGTACTGGACCTGGTGTTTACCAACGAAGAAGGCATGATTCGTAATCTCGAGCACCTTCCTGGACTCGCCAAAAGCGATCATGTTGTCCTGAAGTTTACTGTTGTTTGCTATGCGGATGTGTGTACTGTTCGAGTCTTGAAGGTTGACAGGGTGTATTACCACAGACACTGGGTTACGGCAACGTCACATTCCACTCCGTGAGCACTCGACGGCCGCTGGCCGGAGACTGCCCGCCCGGCCCTGCCCGGACCGGGGCGGGGCGGCCGCTCACGCCCTATTGGCTGCGCCGGCTGCAACGGGCAGCAGCCGGCACAACCCGCACATGCCCCCCAGTCGCGCAATATTCGGAGTAGGTTGCGCGACACTAACGTCTATATTACATGGCCTCAATGAGGCGCTGCGGGCGGCGTCGGCGCCGTCGCGATCGGCGAAGCGCCGGCTGCGGCGCCGCGGGTTCGGCGGGCTCGGCTGTTGTGATTGGTGGCCGCACAGCTGACGTCGTCTGCTGCGGTGTGGCAGCACCAGCTGGAGCGGTGGCTGGTGTCCCGCTCGGCGTTGTCGTGGTCGCCAGGCCCGTGGAGCCCGGCTGACCGGTGCTGTGTCCAGACAGCTCGTCGGGGAGGACGCAGCCGTACCGGCGGCGGATGTGGCGTCGGGTCCGGCTGAGGACCCGACCGCTCGGCATCCTGATGAAGTAGCGGCGGTGCCCTCCAACCTCGACCACCCTGCCGTAGCGATCCCAGCGGCCGGTCTCCCGGTTCTGGACCGCGACGTGGGCTCCGACCTTCAGCTCGGGCAAATCGGTTGCACGAGCATCATAGCGTTGCTCGACCCGCTCCTGACGGCGGGCAGCAGCGGCTTCTGCATGGTCAGCTGAGATCTGCCATTCGGCAGCGAAGTTGCGGCGGTGAGCCGGCAGCATGTCCCGTACTGGGCGTCCGTACAGAATCTCAGCCGGGCTCCGGCCGTCGGGTCCCGGGGTGTTACGGTGTTGTAGCACCCCCTGGGTCCAGAGATCGCTGTCCAGCTGCCTCTTCTGCGGGTCCCAGCAGCGACGGATGAGCTTCTTCGTGACCTTAACGGCGGCTTCAGCTCTGCCGTTCGACTGCGGGTATTCGGGTGAGGAGACGCGGTGAGTGACTCCCCACTGCTTCAGGAAGGCCTGGAACGCTTTAGCTCGGAACCGAGGCCCTCCGTCGGTCCACAGCGTGTTGAAGACGCCGGTATGGCAGAAGATGGTCCGCGTGGCATCGATGAGTTGATGAGTCAGGGCATGCCGTCCCAGGTCCTGGACGAACTGCCATCCGGAGCAGTGGTCGACAGAGACCAGGAACTTGTGGCCTCCATAGTCGCCGAAATCCATTGACACCTCCTCGAACGGTCGGGACGGTGCTGGTCGATGACGGAGCGTTTCTCGGGGCAGCGACGGTAGGTCCCTCTGGCACGGCTGGCAGCGACGGACGACGTTTTCAATGTCGTTATCGACACCGGGCCAGTAGACGATTTGACGAGCGCGCTGTTTCGTCTTTTCTTTGCCCATGTGACTGCCGTGAAGGTGATGAAGTATCTCCTTCCGAAGTGCAGCAGGGATGATGAGACGACGGCCGTACACAATTAGGCCATCATCCACAGAGAGATACTCATGGACGGGCCAGTACGGTCTCAGCTCCACTGGGAGGTCAGCCTTACGGCTGGGGAAGCCGGCGAGGACCGTCTGACGCAGCAGTTGATATACGCCGTCCTGATCAGCAGCTGCGCGGACTTTGTCCACTTGTAGATCGTCGGCGGCGACTGCTTGGATCTGGGCGATGCTGGAGGTGAAGTCCTCCTCCGGGTTCAGCCTGTCCACCTCATCCTCCGCCGTCGGGGCGGTGAGTGGGCTGCGGGACAGGGCGTCAGCGGCGAGGTGCTGCGTGCCCTTCACCCAGTGAGCGGTGAACGGACCGAGCTCAGCCAGCTTCAGCTTCAGCCGCTGAAGACGAGGGTTCTCCAGCTCATCCAGCATCTTGGAGTTGAGGATGGGCACCAGCGGGCGGTGGTCCACAAATAAGTCGAAGTGTGGCAGCCCTGCCAGAAACAGGCGGCATTCGGCGAATGCCCAGGCGACGGCGGCGAGCTCCAGCTCGATAGCGGCGTATCGAGATTCAGTGTCAGTGACGAAGCGGGAGCCCGCCTGCACCAGCCGCCAGGTGTCGTCCTGTTGCTTCTGTTCCAGCAGGAACCCGAAGCCGTGTAGGCGGCTCGCGTCTGTTGAGAGGCGAGTCGGCAGGCTGGGGTCGTAGAAGGCGAGGGTAGCCGTTGACGAGAGGAGCTGCCCTTGCCTTTAGGAACGCCTCTTGGTGGGTGGCGTCCCAGCAGAAGTCGCGCTTGGCGCTGAGCAGCCCTCTCAGCGGCTGCATGTGTCGGGAGACGCTCTCTGAGAACGGTACGATCTGGTTCACCAGCCCGAAGAAGCTGCGGAGGCTGCTGATCTCCTGCGGAGCGGGGAAGCTCCGGATGGCGTCGGTGAGCGCCGGGTCGGGGCGGTAGCCGGTCCGCGTGACGACGAACCCGGCGAACTTCACAGACGGCTGCATGAACTGAACCTTGGCGCGGTTCAGTGAAACTCCCTGCTCGCGGCACCGCTGCAGGAAGAGTCGCACACGCTGCACGAACTCCTCGCGAGTCCGGCCGTAGATGATGACGTCATCCACGAGTCGCTTCATGCCAGGTAGACCGTGGAGGCACTGGTCCATGCGGCGGTTGTAGTGCTCGCTGATTGAAGAGATGCCATACGGAGCACGCTTTTACATGTATCTGCCAAACGGGGTGATAAATGTAGTTAGCGGCTGGCTCTGCGGCTTCAGCGGGCACTGGTGGTAGCCCTTCAGAGCGTCAAAGACGGCGAAGAAGCGTGCTTCCTCTGACGCGATGGAGGTGACGCATTCAAGCGGTGTGGACGACTGATACAACTCTCTCTGGACAGAGTTATTCAGCTGCGACAGGTCCACGCAGAGACGCACGCCGGCGCCGTTTTTCTTTTCGCTGACTACGATCGGCGCGCACCAGGAAGTGGGCTCCGTCATCGGCGTGATTATGTCGTCCGCCTCCAGCTTCTGCAGCTCCTTGAGTAGGGGTTCTCGCAGAGCGAACGGCACCCGGCGGGGTGCTGAGATGGCCAGCGGGGTGGCATCTGGGCGGAGACGAATTTCGAACTCTTCTCCAGACATCACTTTAATGACACCATCAAACACATCGGCAAACTCACGGAGGATCGCTTCTGAGGCGGGATCGTCTGTCGCCGGGAACGCTGCTGCCGGTGCGGGGGCGGGCGCGCTGTCGCCAGCCCCGCTGCGACGGGCTGCGCTTGTCACGGCAGGTGGCGCTGCTGGCGCCACTGTGGGTGCTGCTTCTGGTCGGACGGCAGGCGACACCGCAGGCGGAGCCGTGGGCGGCGCCACACTCGTGGCGACAGGTGTCGCTGCGGGCGCTACTGTCGGCGCCGCAACGCGCCGCTGGTGTGCGACAGACTCCCCAGAGGCGTCCGGAAGAATCTGTGCTGGGTAGAGGGCAGGTAGTACTCGCAGGGCTCGGGCTGCTTTCCATGACAGGAGAAGTCCAGTCACCCCCTGCACAAAGTGAATGTCAGCTGCAGTGGTGACATTGCCGAGCTGCAGCCGTGCTGGCAGCATGCCCAGGGTGCAGATCGGGCGTCCGTCAGCGGCCCGGGGACGCTCCGCCGAGTCCAGCAGGTTGTTGACGTGCCCGCCGATGGTCTCCAGGAAGTCGGTTCCTGCGACTGTGATGTCAGCACCGCTGTCGGGTAGCGCAGCGACACCAATAGCCGGTGGGAGCATCCCCGCTGTAACGGTGAGATGAATCTTTGGAGCACCGTCACGCGTCGTTGAGGCGATGATGGCAGCTGTGACGGCGTGACAGGTCGGTCGGGCGCTGTCACCTCTGTAGTCTGTCACCCCTGTCCCGGCACACTGCTCGAAAGTGTCCCAGTTTCCCGCAGCGGGAACAATGCCTCCCACTAGCGGGGCATACGCCGGGTGTGCGGTGGATCAGGTTGCAGTTGTAGCACACTGCATTGTCACCTGACGCCGCCGGTGGATGAGGCGGATGGTGCCGGCGCTGGGTCACGTCTGCGTCTCGAGTTGCGCCATTGTCCCGTGGCGGCCGGCGGCGGCCGGCGTCAGCGTCTCGGGTTGCACCATTGTCCGGCGGCGGCCGGCGCCGCCGGCCCGCAGCCACCCGACAGGCACCGACACCCTCGCCGACGATGGCGATGGCGTCACGCTGGGCGGCTTCCTCAGCACGGCAGACGTTGACGGCCGAGGCGAGGGTCAGATTGGGGGTGGCGCACAGTTTTTTCATGACACCTGGGTCGCGGAGACCAACCACGATACGGTCGCGGGTGAGACTGTCCCGGCACTGAGCACAAAAGTTGCACGTAGCCGATAGCTCTCGTAATGCCACGAAAAAGTCCTCGAAGCTTTCGCCTTCCAGCTGACACCGCAGGTTAAAGTTCCGTCTTTCGACCACCTCATTGACCTGTCCCAGAAAGTATACGCGTAGTTTATCCAACACTGTCTGATGAACTGTCCGTTCGCGCTCTGGTAGGTCGAGGTTTCGCACGATACGAAGCGTATCGTCACCGAGGCAGGACCGCAGCCTCGCCATCTGGAAAGCCTCGGTAGCAGTATCGAGGCCCGTCAGCATGACGAAATCGTCCCATCGCTGCTTCCATGCCAGCCATGCATCGACCCCGCGGTCCACGCCGACCTCCAGCCTGCCCGGAGGCGAGGGGCGGTCAGCGCACCCGGACCCGGCCCGCGGCGGTGCGAGCGGCGGCGGCAGCGCGGCCGGGCCGGCGGGCGGGGCGAGCAGGGGCGGGGCGGCGGCGGCGGCGGCAGCGGCGGTGGTGGTGGCGGTCTGCTGCTGTATGTGCTCCAGCTGCTCTCGAAGTGAGATGTTCTCTTCCGCCAGAGCCGCTATCTCCTCCGCTGATAAGTGATAATCCTGCCGGCTGCGCCATGTTCGAGTCTTGAAGGTTGACAGGGTGTATTACCACAGACACTGGGTTACGGCAACGTCACATTCCACTCCGTGAGCACTCGACGGCCGCTGGCCGGAGACTGCCCGCCCGGCCCTGCCCGGACCGGGGCGGGGCGGCCGCTCACGCCCTATTTGCTGCGCCGGCTGCAACGGGCAGCAGCCGGCACAACTCACACCGCCCACCGATTCTACACATCAACTACGAGCGCCTTGCAGGTGTCCTGAGGGCACGAAACTGGGACGATATCAGAAACTTGGACCTGGAAGAAGCATACGTATCGTTCAAGTCGCGAATCACCGGAGACGTAGAAGACTGTTCGGTCAAGAGAAACGCCCACTCCAGGAAGAATCTCTACATGAATCGGGCGGCGATGCAGCTGAGAAAGAGGAAGCAGGTGCTGTGGGGCGTCTACCGTCAAACTCTCGACAATGTGAATCATGCCCGGTTCGTGAGGTGCAGAAATCAGCTTAGAGGCCTGACGAGAAAACTTCGAAGGGACCACGAGTCAAAGCTGGCATCGAACCTCAGACAGAACCCCAAAGCATTTTGGAGATACGCCAACTCCAGACTGCGTACCAGGTGCCGTGTCGAAGACCTGATGGATGGATGAAAACGGTGAGCTTGTGAGCCAGCAACCAAGCAAAAGCTGAAGTACTAAGCAGGTTCTTCTCCAGCGTCTACACCTCAGAGGGAGCTGAGCCTCCCCCAGCTCTGCCATGCAACTTCCATCAGCAATTTGTGGTCCTGTCAACCGTATAGCTTATTTCTTAGAAGCTGGAAATTTAGTGTAGCGTGACTGCAGAAGTGTGGGGTCGGAGCCGGAATCAGTCGGAGTTGACTGTTTTGGCCAGTTTTGGCCAGAGTCGGAGTTGAAGTCTTCGAAAATGTTCGGATTTTGACTTCGAGGTCGGATTGGTGTAAAGTCATGCTCTTGGCTGGTTAGACGAAATATATTAGGCCCGTGTTCGGCCAGTCGTGTTATACGACACACGATGATCACGATATCAAAAATCGGCAGTTCCGCGATGACAGGTCGGATAAGAGCTGGAGCTTTTGTTGGCCGAGGTGGCAGGGGTCAGACCAATGTCTGTAGGCCCACACCCCATATACTGAGTATCTAAACCTCCTGGACCCTCTCAGATTCGGCACCGGCCGTTCCATCTCTTCCATCCTCATGACAGTCAAATCCTTCTCCTCCACGCCGCAACACCCTGCTCCGGGCTGGACGGGCAACTCTATCCCATGCGGGAATGGCTCCACTGGAGCTATAGTCCTTTGCCGGGTGCAGTGAGTGCCAGTGGGCTGGGCTGCCTGTTCAATTGGTCGGGTTCATCCCAAGTGGCTCACTGGGGTGGCTGCCCCGACCAATGTCTCCCACTAATTCTTTCATACTTGCGGCTCTGAAATGGTCTCATTGGACCGAAGGGCCTAATCAAATTTCGAGTAGGATAACAACCAGTAAAACGCCTTTTGGGGCGACCAACGGAGCGAGCGAGAGGGTGGGGTGGGCCTTGCACGTGCGAAATTGCGAGGGGATACCTCCAACAACTTGTGCACTGCACCCTTCTAACCGGTCCCTAACGATGTGCCAAATTTGAGTGCAATCGGCAGAGCCGTTCTCAAGATCTGGAAGCGGCACCCTGCACGTGCGCACATGCAAAATGGGTCCCAAATGACTTTTGCACGGCACCCTACTAACCGGTCCCTAACCATGTATCAGATTTCAGGACAATCGGTTCAGCCGTTCTCGAGATCTGGAATCGACCCCTGCATGTGCGCACGTGCAGCAACACCCCAACTGTGGCACATGGATATGCATTGCCTAGTGGGTATACCTACCTACATACATGCCAACTTTCAGCGCAATCGGCCCAGTAGTTGCCGAGATATTGAAATTGTTACAAAACTGACACCTCTTCGTTTTTCACGTGACGCGTGCATATGGGGTCACTCACATGCATCGGGAATAGTCCGATGCTTGTTAGAAGGAATGAATCTAGTGCTACCTGTTCTATCGCCATCCCTTCGTTTCAGTGGCGGCCTCGGTCGTCCGCTCGCGAATCCGGTGCGACACTAGGGACTCAACGGGCAGTCTGTATTCTATCAACGCGTGGTCGTACACGCACACCTGCTTCCGCGGCCGGCGGCCGGCGACTGACTTTCAAGGCCAGCTGGCTGATCGGCGGCGGCTGGCCGCCGCAAGGGCGCGCTCAGCTCCGCTTCCGGGGGGGGGGGGGGCCGGTATCACGACACCACACCTCACCCCCCCGTCACTAGATCACAAACACCGATCTAACCGCCAAAGATAACCGCCTAACCGCCTTCAACATAAACACAATGAACGCGTGATCTCCGGCGATCTCCAGTCTAACAGGACAGGACAGAAAGACGCGAATCGAACAATCGAGAATCGAATCGAATCGAATCGAACACACGCTATAGTTCTTCAATGTAGCGCCTCGGAGGAGCCGCTCGGCGCGTCGAGTGACGCGGCACAGTTAACTCAGCGTGGCGATCCGCTCGACCCGCTGGTCCCGCCGTCACTCCAGGCCGCGCCGCGGCCGACTCGTTCAGCGCCGCGCGCTCTGCTGTCGTCCCATCTCGGGTCGGTTCGCGGCTGGGCTCCTCTGCCGCCGTTCCGTCCCGGGACCCACCGGCGCTGTCCGCTGCGGGCGCGGCACCGGTCCAGTGTGCCGCCCCGGCGCCGGCTGACCTCCCGGCTGCGGCGCCGTCCGTGCCCGCTGCAGCTCTGGCCTCAGGTGAGTCCGACGCTGCGGCTCCCGCCGGCCTCTCGGCTGCTGTGCCGGAAGGCCGCTCCGCTCCAGCGCCGATCACGCGAGCCCGCTCCGGCTGAGAAGCACCGTTGCTCCGGCTGATCGCGCCGCTGCTGCTGACGCCGCTGCCCTCCCCTCCGTCTCGACCGACGGAGGGCGGCCAGTAGCGATCGGACGCGAGTGCTGCCGCGTCCGCTCTGCCGCGGTCCTCGGCAGGCGCCGTGCTGTCAGCGGCGGCCGACAACAGCTGATCACAGTGCCGTGACCACGACCCGCCTCTACCGACGTCGACTTCGTAGGAAACGGGCCCAGTGCGTGTGACGATCCGACCGCGCACCCACTTCTGTGGCCCGGAGTAGCAGCGAACCCAGACGTCGGCGCCGACCGCAAACGCTCTGGCGCGTCCGCCGGCTGCCGTCTGCTGTCGCTCCGCGCTGTCCCGCAGCGCGTCCTCGGCGGTCGGAACGAGCAGATTCAGCCGCGTGCGGATGTTGCGGCCCAACAGCACCTCCGCTGGGGTCCGTCCCGTGCTGGCATGCGGTGTGGCCCTGTACGCCATCAGAACTCGGGCGAGCGCCAGTTCCATGCCTCCGCTGTCGTCTGCTGCCAGAGTCGCCTTCAGTGAGTTTTTTAGCGAGCCGACCGCTCGCTCCGCCATCCCATTAGACGATGGGTGATGGGGCGCCACTCTGACATGTCGGATCCCGTTAGAGCTGGCGAACTGGGCGAATTCCTGGCTCGTGAACTGTGGGCCATTGTCCGTTACCAGCACCAGCGGTAGTCCGAGACGAGCAAAAACCGTCCTCATCACCGCTACGGTCCGCTCGGACGTGGTCGTCTTCATTGGGATCATTTCAGCCCACTTGGAGAAACTATCCACCATCACCAGGAACCAGGTGCCCTTCAGAGGTCCGGCAAAATCGGCATGCACCCGCTGCCAGGGTCCCTGAGCGGGTTCCCAGGGGTGCCGCTCCGCGTGCGGCGGCGCCGCTCGCTTCGACTCGCAGGCTGGACAGCCCCGAGCGAGCGCCTCCAGTTCAGCGTCCAGCCCCGGCCACCAGACAAACCGACGAGCAAGTTGCTTCATCTTCGTGCAGCCGCTGTGTCCCTCGTGTAGCTGCTGCTTCACACGATCTTGCAAAGCCCTCGGCACCACCACACGGCCGCCCCAGAGCACGCAGTCTGCGTCCGTCGACAGCTCGTCCGCTCGATGCTTGTACGGCGTCAGCTCGGCGTCCATCATCCCCGGCCAGCCGGACCGCACCGCAGCCAGTACGCGACCCAGCACCGGATCCGTGCGCGTGGCCGCTGCGATAGCCCTGGCCGAGAGGCATGGTCCCTGCTCCTGCACGACGAACATGACGCCTCCTCCGCCGTACTCAGCCTCTTCCTCCGCCGCCTCCCGCTCCTCCGCCGGACTGCTCACCGGCAGACGGGACAGCGTGTCCGCCGCTCTCATGTCTCCGGAGCGCCGCAGCTCCACTTCATACTGATACGCCGCCAGTTGAAGCGCGTACCGCTGCATACGAGCTGCCGCGAGGGTGGGCAGATCCCTGTCCGGGCTGACGATCCGCGACAGCGTGCGGTTGTCCACTACCAGGGTGAACCGCCTGCCCATCAGGTACTGGTGGAAGCGCCGTATTCCGAATGACACGGCCGCAGCTTCCTTCTCTACCTGCGCGTACTTCCGCTCAGTCTGCGTTAGAGTACGAGACGCGTACTGTACCGGCTTCTCCAGTCCATCAGCCGTCACCTGCATCAGTACCGCGCCGAGTCCCGTCTCACTGGCGTCCGTCACCAGCCGCACCGGTCGGTCAGGATCGAACCGCACCAGCACTGGGGCTGATGACAGCATTGTCTTCACCTTCTTCACTGCCGCCGCGCACTGCTCCGTCCACTGCCACTTCACTCCTTTCTTTAGCAGCGCATACAGAGGTGTCAGTACGGTAGCCAGTCCCGGCAGGATCCGCTGATAGTAGCTCACCGTGCCGATCAGCGACTTCAGCGCCTGCTGGTTCACCGGGTCTGGCGCCTGCAGGATCGACTCCGTCTTCCCTGCCAGCGGACGGAGCGCGTCCGCCGACAGACGCCACCCGAGGTAGGTCACCTCCGGCACATTGAAGCTGCACTTCTCTCGCCTCAGGCGGATGCCGTTCTCCTCCATCCTAGTCAGGGTCGCGTCCAGCCGTTCCAGCAGCTCCTCCTCCGTGTCAGCCCACACCAGCACATCGTCCATGTAGCTGACAGTGCCGGGCAGTCCCGCCGTGATCTGATCCATCACGGACTGGTACAGTGCCCCACAGACAGAGATGCCATACGGCAGTCTGTTCATCCTGTAATCGCCTCTGTGTGTCGTCACCGTGGTCGCATTCTTGCTGTTCTCGTCCAATTCCACCTGCAGATAGGCGCTCCTGCAGTCCAGCTTTGCAAACCGTTTCCCCCGGACGCCGGAGAACAGCTCATCGGCCGTCCGCATCGGGTACTTGGTCTGCTCCAGCTGAGGGTTGACAGTCAGCCTGTAGTCTGCGCAGATGCGGACGCCATTCTGCGTCGGGATGACCACCAGCGGTGTCCCCCAGCCGCTCCCTGGTGGCACCTTCTCTGCCACCCCCTGCTCCTCCCACCGGTCCAGTTCGCGGTCCACCGCCTCCTGCAGGGCGAACGGCACCGGACGTGCCCGTCGGTACACCGGCTTGGCGTCCGACTTCAGCCGCAGTCCCACCTTGATCGGGATGCGTCCCAGCTCCTCGTTGAAGACCGCCGAGTGCCTCTCCAGCACGCCTTCGAGCGTCCGCGCCGGCTGCACGCGGCATACCCGAGCCGGTGACGTCATTAGATCAAGCGCCTGCAGCCACTCGCGTCCCATCAGCGGGCGGTGGGGTCCAAAACCGGTCACCACCAGCCGCAGACGGGTCGCGGATCTGTCCGACGCCGAGACGCTGACCAGCACCTCCCCTCTCAAGGGAATGACCTGACCTGTGAACGAGGTCAGGCGCAGGTCACATGGGTCCAGCAGCTGCAGAAGTCCCAGCTGCCGCGCTGTCTCCGCGCTCACCAGCGACACCGGGCTCCCCGTGTCCACGACCATGGCCAGCTGCTGGCCGTTCACCATCACCAGGGATGCGGAGCCGTGGAAATTTCAGACGGCTCCGGCTCCGGCTCCGGCTCCGGAGAAAAAAATCGGCTCCGGCTCCGGCTCCGGCTCCGGGTGAAATGTTATGGCGGCTCCGGCTCCGGCTCCGGCTCCGAGTAAAATGGTCCGGCTCCGGCGGCTCCGGCTCCGACTCAGTACATCCCCTACGCAATCAATTAAATACGGGTGGAAGAAAAATTGGATTGGTTATACGCGTTACTCTTTGCCATGACCGGCTCACCGCGTCCCCGCGCAAACGCACCTCTGAGAGAACTGGCAGAACAAAGGGCTAGGAAGCGATGGCATTGGAAACGCAGTCGCCGCGAATCGGAGTTCAGTGAACCATCGTAAGCTGACACCCGTCTCGGCTGCATTGGGGGGTGAGGGGTGGGGGGTGTATGGGATGAGACGGTGCTGGGAGTCGCAGTCCACTGCACTGGTTTGAAAACAATGGCCGTCACCTGATGACTGGTCCTCATGTTCTGGGGATGCAGTAGACGTGGTGGGGGGGGGGGGGAGAGCAAACAGGAAGTTGTTTGCGTACTGTGGGATACTGGGGATATTCGGATTTTTTCATTCACTTGATGGCCCATGACGTAAGTACCATATGTTTTACTGCCTTGTACTGTCAAACCGAACTAGGTCAATTATTTTTTTCCTCTTCAAAAAATAAAAAGGAGCCGGAGTCGCCCCCTTTTTTGGCGGCTCCGGCTCCGGCTCCGGCTCCGGGCTATATTGTTTCACGGCTCCGGCTCCGGCTCCGGCTCCGGGCAAAATATGCCGGCTCCGGCGGCTCCGGCTCCGACTCCGGCTCCGGCTCCGCATCCCTGACCATCACCGTCTTCATTTCCGGCTCCGCGGCGCTGGCTTCGACTGTGTTCACCAGCCACGCGTCGCCGTCGCCGTCCGTCTGCTCCTCCTCCGCAGCCACCAGCCGCACCCGCCGCTGCGGACATGCCGCCTTCAGGTGCCCGGTGGAGCCACACTTAAAGCACCGCCGCTGCCTGACCGGGCCGTCACTGCTCGTCCTGTCCGGCGCGCCAGCCTGACCTCGTGCGCCGGTCGTTCCCACGCGACCGCCGCTGACCGCTTGGCCAGCTGGACGGTGGCTGTCGCGCGCACGGTGCTTGTCGCGTGCACGCGGCACGGCTCCGGCCGCAGGACAGTCGCGCTGCCAATGTCCGGTCGACCCGCACCGGAAACAGGCGCCTGGGTGCCCAGCCGGCCGGCCGGTCTCCGGTCGCTGCGACAGCCGCAGCGCCTGAACTGTGTCCGCGGCCATCGCTGCCGGCGCTGGCACTCCCCCCAGCTGAGCCGTCAAATCCAGCACGTCCTGATGCGCGCGAGCCGTCTTCCTGATGTCCTGAAGGGTCAGGTCGGTTCCCTTCAGAGCTGCCTCCCGGACCAGCCTCCGCTGCAGCTCGCCACTGCTGCCCAGAACGCAGCGGTCTCGCAGCTGCTGGTCGATTTCCGCTGTCGTATATCCGCAACGCATCACCTGAGTGCGCAGCCTGCCCAGGAAACCCTCCAGGTTCTCATCAGCCTCCATTGTCATTTTCTCAAATTTTCCCCGCTCTGCCACAACATTTCTTACTGGAACCAGGTATCGAGTCAGTTTCCCTTTCAGACGGACGAACTCGTCGACCTGACCATCCTCCGTCTCGTCGGGCAGGGACTCGCTTATGTCCGCTATATCTGGGCCAACCAGATGCAGCAACATTGCGCATTGTCGTGCCGTTCCCTGTACATTGACAGCTACCATATAACGTTCCAGCCCTCGCAGCCATTTTTCAAAATCGCTGCCCGGCTTGTACGGTGCCGCCGCCATCGGCTGCATTCCCAGCAGCTCCATCCCGCTGCCGGGCGCTGAACAGCTGATCGTCCGCCGCGGCCGCCGGACCAGGCCCAACGAACCGAGCCTGAGCGGTTACCGCGCGCTTCCCCGGCCAACCAGCGGACTCGTCGCAGCCAGCACCTCCGGACGGCTTACTTCCGCTCACCTGAGCCAATCAGCGGGCCCGACACAGCCAGCTGATCCGGTCGACCAATCAGAGGCTTCAGTGTCAGCCGCTATCGCCAGGCTCACTTCCGCGCCGAATTCGCCGCACAAAATCGGGAGAAATAAAAATAACGGCCCTACTGGCGAGCGAAATGCAATGCAGGCAGAAACAAAAAGTACTAGCTACTACACTAAGCACTAAGCACTAAGCACTCCGTTACAAAACACTTCCCTCCGACTCCGTTAGCACGCCCCCGCGACGTACACAACGTTACAACATGGCCGCCGCCGACCAGCGCGGCGCCCATCAATCACCGTGACCGCCGGCATCCCCGTGCTTACACCACACGCCTCGGCTCCGTCACTGACTGTCCAGTTCGCTTGCCGGATCACCGCCACTCGTTTACCCGAGCGCTGCCGACTCACCGCGAACTCCGGCCCGTAGAACTCCCCGAGCCGCCGCCATTTTCCGGTCTTGAAATCCACCCTTCGCTTCCAGCCTCCCATCTGATCCTTGTCGCCAAGTTTGTTCTATCGCCATCCCTTCGTTTCAGTGGCGGCCTCGGTCGTCCGCTCGCGAATCCGGTGCGACACTAGGGACTCAACGGGCAGTCTGTATTCTATCAACGCGTGGTCGTACACGCACACCTGCTTCCGCGGCCGGCGGCCGGCGACTGACTTTCAAGGCCAGCTGGCTGATCGGCGGCGGCTGGCCGCCGCAAGGGCGCGCTCAGCTCCGCTTCCGGGGGGGGGGGGGGGGGCCGGTATCACGACACCACACTACCCTACAAAAATTACCGCATGTAAATCGGTCAAGTGGTTGCTGAGATATAAGCCTAGCAAAAGCGTGACCACGGCATACTCAGAAATTTCCGTTAAAGGAAATAGTTCACTTTCACGAAATTATTTTTTTTGCAATGGATTTATGATTTTTTATGTTCAAAATGATCAGCAAAGAAAATAAAACCTATTTATAACAAAAGATTATTTTCTATATTTTGATATAAGAAGAACTTTTCAGTTTCTGTAAGGCACAGGCGATCCAGTATGAAAAGAGCATGGGTTCCGAAAATTCTTCAGAAACTAGAGAAATTATCGCGGCCACCGGCATTGGGAGAGCACAGAGCAAAGCTTTCAATAATGGCCACCAGGTGGCAGCAAGGGCGTTACTGCCGATCCATTTGCTGTCACGGCCGGGGCCGGGTATCACAGAGCGCTGCCAACGCTGTTGGCGCTTTTGGTTTCATACTTGTTGCACACTACCCATAGTGTTGGAGATATAGGGGTAGTGTGTGACAAGTATGAAATCAAGGCAGCGCTCCGTGGAACACGGCCCGGGCTGCGTCCGCCCGGGTCGCCCGCGGTCACCCAAGTCCCAGCAATTATCGCGCCTCAGGCTGATATGCAACTGGCTGCTGCTGATGTCCAGCTGCTGGCAGACCAGCTTCAGGCTCATGCCGCCATGCCATCAAATGAACCCAAAGCTTTCAATCATTTGATAGAAAACTACCAAATGAACCCTTCCGTAACTCGACTCTTACTCAGAGCAAGAGTCACATCGCAAGATCAGGTCACTGCCGAGGCGAGAGCCGAAACCAGAGGCACGTATTCATCCAATATTCTCGCTTCTAACGTCGGAAAAGAAACTATGCGAACAGATATGGCGAAAAATAGATGTGCGGATAATTTCGTTACACCCTGTAGGAGTTCCTTTAGACCATGCCCGTATCCTGTAACCAGCAGCAGACAGTACTCGTTCGTTTCTATTCATGCCAATGAACTCATGACTTATGAGCGTCACTGCGCGATGGCGAATACAACACATAGCTTTTGAAGCAGTGTATGATAGTCAACAGCGGTGTATTTAACTGACATCGAAACATAGCAGAGTACCTACTAGCTAAACCACTTCGACAAGGCAAGCTCCAAAACTCAAAAGCATTCAATACCTATCACCGATTACAAAATAACATACAGCTTTCAAGCAATGCACTGTGCACCAGCATACACATGTAGCCCTCCAATGCACCATTCACAAATGTAGGCATGTATACAATAAACATGAGACGGTGAAGCTCAGTCTGCTAATGCTAACGTCCCAGAGCGCGCACATCCCCGCCACCTGCATGAGCGATTTCTGCAGGCTACAGACGAGACACACAGGACGGAATATGTCTGAAAGAACAGGTACGTAACCGGCATCGATTTGCCCCCTAAGAAACGAGTAAGTCTTGATCAGACCAGTCATACGCCCGACATGGATATGATCCCTCGTGATAGCGAGCGACTGAGTGCGTTCGGCGGGAGAGAGCTGGGACTTCACTTTAAGGAACGGTGGTGTTATGACACGTACATCACGACAGGCTAACAGATCTTGGACATTGAACCCTGCCTGGTGCTGATATTGACAGCACCATCAGATAGCCCCGCAGTGATGCAGCACACCCCCCTTCAGTGTCGCACTCCTCATAAGCGCAACGTCAGGTGGAGGTGGAGCACTCTTCTCCATTTCCTCTGCCTGTTGAGCCCGTTCTTGTACCTGTGAAAACAATAAAATTTGTATTAACTGCTTCATACATAGGTACTGAATACAGCCTGACAAGGCATGAGATAGACCATTATCAGAAACTTTATGCACATCTTTTACTACCACTGGTTGGTTCTGAGCAATTAACATCTGCCAAAAGGTGAAAACACTTTAGATTGAACATACAATTTGCCCAGTTAAGTATACTTTTGTGACTTGTCTGTGGGTTGTGGAATAAAAAAAAACTTTCAAAAAAACAAACTGAGAAGTGATCCCCTTACATCTGCTATCCAAATCACAAAACAGAGAATCTCCTAGCCTGTCTGGATCTGACAGCGTCTGCCCATTGCTCAAATGTCAATAACGATAAACAGTTAGGTATAGATAGGTAAATAGTGCCACAAGGCACAAACCTATTCATCTTATCTGCAGGTAAAGGACAGCATCTAAGCTCTGTAGTTGTTTGCACTGACCAAGCTGTCCAACAGCTGGCCATGTTCCTTTTCCTTGCGCCTAGCCTGCCTACGAATTGCTGAAGCAGTTGAAGCTAGTGCTTTGCCCTGAGTAACAGATGGAATAACCCCCTTCTTCAGCCTCTTCTGCTGTTGTCTGGCCCTTGACAATGCACGTCATTGTTTATAGCACTGTGAAGTGTGTTTTCTTGCCTTAAACTTTGATGGATCATGAAGTATACGTACCTTACCTATGATGTTGATGTGAGATGTCTGCGAAGCATGCAATAATTTGTACAAATAAAGGTAGTTGTATAATTCTAAGATTAAATGATTGTTGACCTCTGTAGCATTTAGGACATGAATATTCTATGAAAAGCAGACCCATTTTTCGTTTGATACTTATGGTGGTAGCCGGTAAGTGACTTCCCAGTTCCCCGGGTGGCGAATGATAGGGTATATCTTAGATACAAAGCTGCGCATGACCATAAAAACTTACCGTAGGCAGTATATTCCAAAAAATCATCGTCGGTGAAATGCTTCCGACACACAATCAAGTGTTTGGTGGGATGAAATCCGTTGCAGCCTGAGCCATACCTATCTTCCTCGGCCTCTTGTCGCGAGAAAATACAAACCCACCATTCTCCGAGCAGCCATAGACACAACACTGGGCTATTTTCTTCCAAATTTAGGTATTATGACACATGTGACTCACTACTTCCTCAATATTTCACTCACTTTCACCGCACGGCACGGCTCCGAACGGCACCGGCGCAAATTGAATCAGCAGGAACGCCAACAGTGACACCTGCAGTGCTGCCAGATGGGGAAGGCTGTAATCCTCTATATCAGTTACAAAAAATCCTCCAGATTCCTCCAAATCCTATTGGTAGATATAGAAAGGCGGTCTTGGACGCTGCGGGGGGCTATACCCCCAAAAAAGTTTCACCAAATACTAAAAACCCATCGGATTTCGAATCTTTTCGCACTGCTGTGCAGTTTAAAAGATACTTTTTCTTATAAAAGTTGTTGAGTTTTCGTTTTATCTTCAAAAAACGAAAATTTTCGTCGATTTCAGGCGCTGCAGGGGGGCCGGGGGCATTTGCCCCAAATGTCCCCCTTAGATCCGCCAGTAGTTTGGTACCCTCGTAAATATAGCTACAGACTGAGACATTCTGCAGTCTCACGGTGATAAAGGACGTGATATATCCTAACGGGTAGGGTGACGCTGGGCAGGAAAATGCCTTTTTAGTCTTGAATGTGTTATATTTTTCCATGAAATTGAATATAATAATCGGGCGACAAATCCTCCAGATTTTCCTCCAGAATCAAAAATCCTCCAAAAGCGAAATTTGTCCGCAAATAGAGTTCAAAATCCTCCAGATTTGCGGAAATCCTCCAAATCTGGCAACACTGGACACCTGGCGGCCAAAGTTCCGTGTTATCTCCCTTTGGGCGATCTGCTGCTGCTGAATGTCCTTATTGATCAGTACGAGAATTTCTCTAGAGTTCTCGTAGATAATTTCTCTAGTTTCTGAAGAATTTTCGGTACCCATGCTCTTTTCATACTGGATGCAAATATATGCAAGACACACATCCTCAACGCAAGACACCTTTTTTCGGGACGAGAAATAGAATATCTTTGCCTAGGGTGATCGTTGGGCTGTAAAAGCTCCTGATTTATGCTCGTCTCAGCCCAGGCTACGGAACTGCTATTCCAGTTCAAAACCCATGTTAAAAAGTGAACTATTTCCTCCTACGCAAGACTATACGCTTGCTTCGCTCGCCCCATAATGAGTTTGGGGGGGACGTCCCCCTTCCATTCTGAGAGTGGGGGGGGGGGACGCGTCCCCCCCGTCCCCCCCCCCCGGTGGCGGCGCCCATGATGTGAATGTTACAGGATGTGGGAGCTGCGATAATTTAATGGAATTTGAATGTAGATACAAGCCAGCCAGCAAATATATATGCGGATGATCTTAGTTGTTAAAGTTGGGAGGGAAAATTGTGGAAAATTAAAGGTGAGAGTGGACCGAGTGGACTATTCAATTTCACAAGGATTTCACTTTCCACCCAAATCTTGGGACACTGGGCTACACTAGATCTGCACCCCACCAGCCAAATCCGCACCACGCCGCACCAGGTCAGCACCAGCTGAACAAACCTGCACCGACGAGCTTTTGTCAAAATTGCAATGCTTCGCAGACTGGGAAACTACTAGGCGCAAATCCAAATATTGATCGACCAATAAACAGTTGAAGTGAGCAGGGCTATGACCAAACCAGGAATAAATAATTTAAATATGAATGCTTATAATTATAAATAGCTATAGAAAATTAGTATTTGTCAATCACCATTCAGGCTCAGCGACCGTTGACCTGACCCAGTCTGAAAAACGTGGCAGACACGTTTTTCAGTAATGCTGAAAGCTGTCATGCTGCAACTGACAACTGTTGATATTAATTGTGTAACAACTTTAAAATGACAAATACAGCTTCTCTTTTACAGCAGCAACATGGTAAACCGTTGTTGTGTCAAGACATGCAAGCAACACTTCGATTACAAGCCCCAACATACGCAGGGTGCAAAATGGAAACTACACAGGTATGTGATCTCGCCACCGTCATTGCAGTATTTGAAATACATTATCATGAGGGTTATATTTTACCAGATAAACGCCTTTTGGGCGAAGACCGAACGAGCGAGAGAACTGTAACTTTTTTTTGACAAGGGGTCCTCTGACTTCGGGATTTTTTTCAGCTATCGACACAAAATCGGCACACTGCTAGAACTAGACACACTCTACAGTATGTTATGAAAACGAATGAACCGGGGTGCTTGGGACATTCACTTTGCACGTGCAATGAAATGAATTCATATCCTATACTGTAGGTAGATCTCCATATCAATTTCACGTGCTTTTAATAATTTTTTAGACGTTTCAGTTCGTTACATTACAGTCTCAAAAGGTCTCGGTTATCTTTCAGTCTACCCCCAAGACCTAACTTATTGTTTTTTCCCTGGCCCGGCATGCTCTCGGCACCATCCCTCCAATTCTGGTCCAAGGCAACGCACGAGCGCTGCCTGCATCTAGTATTGAAAAGACTTCGCTTCGCTTGCTCGCTCGTAACAACCTATGTAGGCTGTCGCCATTTATTGTGGCACAAATGTAAATGCACAGAGAAACCACCTGCTTTATTACCAAGAATTTGTCTTCATTGTGGCAGAGTATTAGAATTTGACTTTTTCAGAAAAATTATATGAGATGCATTGTGTCCTGCTCCTTTGCTCCATAGGATGCCCAAGGCTGGAGACAGCAGGCGCCAGGCGTGGCTGGATGCCTTGGGCCTCCCATCGGCCGATAAGACTCTCTACGTGTGCAGCATGCATTTTGTTGACAGCGATTACACCCCAAATCGCTTCCTCCAGCCGGAGGCTGTACCCTCGAAGGTAAGCGCGCTCCGTGGCCGAGAGAATTCCAGCGGTAGTGTTAGACGCGAAAGCAGCTGGTGCGGACGGCCATATTTTGCTCGAACGCGTAATCGCGTGCCGGTGGGGTGGTTCTATTATTTGTCTGAGTGAGAGGCGGCTTACTCATGGGGCGGTATATGTTGCAGAGCTGGGCGCCACTGACAAAGAGAAGGACGCTTATAATTTGACACAATGTGTTCTAATGTTACAATATCTTTTTTTCGGCATGGGCCAAGTGCATGTGACCTTGGGGTGGTGCGTCAGTCAATAGTATGGAGATGAGTGCCTGTGACGTTATGACGTTGTGCGTTGTTTTGTAATTGTGCCGTCTTTTGATGGGGCGAAGGCTTGCAAATCCGCCCCATTGGAACAAAAGACATTATTGGCACGCCCCCTCCCCCCCCAGCAGGGCACGGGTAAACACTCTGGTAGTTCACCAACCTCTCTCTGCACTGTGATTTCAGAACCTTGGTACGTCACCTGCGACGGCGACGTCACCTGCAAGTTCTGCGGAACCCGTGACGCCGTCACCAGCTGGACCATCCGCGGCACTGGACCATCCAGCGACGGCCGTGGCGTCGACTCTGCCGGTGCCGGAGACGTCGGCGACGTCACCTGCGCCGCTGGTGTCAACACCGCATGGACACCAGCTGCGAGCTGGTAAACGGCGGTGGAGTGGAAGCAGGTGAGAACTGGCAACCTATTTATGAGAAACTTTTCTTTTTTGCTTGAGGGGTGGTCATCGTGTCTTTCTGCTCGAATTATTCAAATGGGGCTTTATCTATTATTTTGACCATGGACGTGCCTCGAGCATACTGCATAATCATGCCACCTGTCATCATTTATTCATATGAAAATTGTTCAAAAATTTACCCAAAAGAATATACTTGTTAGATATAAACTGCAACTCTCGGGACCAAACAATCTCAGGTTGCCATGGTAATGGGACAAATTTAGCATGAGTGCTAATCTTAAAACTCAATTTTCAACGAAGCGTTTCAAGAGAAAGGAAATAAAATGATTGGACCAGTAGAAGTATGAACTAAATTTCTCACAAATGATTGAAATTTTTAGCTGACCGGTCTGAATAGCATTAGAGGGGCATTCCATGTCAACCGGGACAGCGGGACAGCCAAAATCGGCAACCTCTGCGATTTTGTTCAAACTTGGTATACTTATTGGCTATGGGGTGAAACCTCTGAGGGTGAAAGGATTTTGTCATATACCCTCGGGCTACAGAGATAAAAGTCGCTAAACTTCTGTTTTTTTTTTTTTAGCAGAATTGGACGTGTATTGCAATCTTGAAAGATCTATAGCTTCAACATTTTTGAAGCTATTAATTTCAAACAAACTGAAACGTGCACATAAGGAGTTATGCTAGTAAAATTTGACAATTTTTACATTTTTTGGTGATTTTGAATTTATTTTATTTTGAATTAATTTTTTAAATGTAATTTGTGAAAAATGGGTACCCTTCGATTTTGCTCAAATTTAGATATTGTCTTCCACTACACGTAAGGCACACGTGCTGAGAAAATTAGAGTGGGCCAACGATAACTTTGGATGATATAGCAACAAGTAGTGCAACGTAGCACGGGCGGTGGAAGGGGCCGATTTCGCTAACTCCACCTGCTTATCGCCAATAACTCACGCCATAATTATCATATTAACGTCAAACTTCCAGTATCTGTCCAGAATTGAATTCCAAATCCTTCCGTGCAAGAAATAGGTAAATCGGTCCACAACTTTTCTACTTATAGCGGTGTAAAGTCAAACATTCCTACCGGAGCGGCTCGGCAGCCGGCGCCGGCCGATGCCGCCTGAATGGTAGACTGTGCCGGCGCGGGACGGTTCCATCTTTGCACCGCGCTTCTTACCGCTGATTATGATCGATTCGTGTCAAATTTTGTGTGAAGGCTTAAAAATGTACAGGCAATCTAATGTCCAAATAAATACGAAAATCACTGGTAAAATTAACCCGCGCCCCACTGGGGGGGGGGGGGGCTATTCATAGCCCCCCTCCCGTTTTTCTGCAATAACTTCCAAACCGCTTGACATATCGACGCCAAACTTTCAGTACCTTAGGCTGCATCAATTTGACACCTTGTGTCAAAATTTGAACTTCGTAACTACTATAGGTCGGCCGGAAATGACGTCAGAGTGACGTCATGTTCGGCCGATTTCGACGCAAAACATTGAACCACGGCAATCGCTCCCAAGAGCTCAGTTGGTAAGCTAGATCCAACCTATTTGCATGAGAGGACTCAGAATAGACTGCGCTATCAAAATGCTTTCTCGGATTTTCGAAATTTTGAAAATTTTGAAAATTAATATAATAATATCCAAAATTTATATTTTTTCATTTTTTCAAAAAGTTTTTGACTTTTCGAAAAAACGGAATATATGTGATAGAACGCATTATTATAACTAACTCTAGCAAGTTTTAGCTAAATATCTTCAAAAATGGCCATGTTTTACGAATTATTGCAAAAAATTCACAATTATTAATTTTTCAAATCAATTTTTCAGCACGTATTTGACATCGTACGCCAATATAAATAGCACCATCGTGTTCCTGAGCTCAAACTGCATCCAATAGACACCTTTTTTGTTGAAAAATTTTAACTTCAAAATTTGACCTTTTTTGACCTGAAAGTGACCTGACCTAAGCTAAATTCGACTCAAAATGACCTCGAATGACACAGACGACATCAAATTCGAAATCTCTGACCTAAATGGACCATAAAACATGTGTCACGTGACCGACGCTTGCTATAATATTTTCGTGACCTGTGATGACCTGACCTTGACCTGAAAATCTAAGAACAAGTTTAATTTGGTACCCTCAGGGTAACTTGAGCATCTGTTCCCGGGTGTGTGATCCAAAAATGAGCCTGATCTGACTTGTAAGACGGCGGCCAGAGCCCAAAACGTGAACAAGCCAAAATGCTAATAATTTTTACTTTGACCTGACCTGTGACGTCATCGGTGACCTCGAGGTCAATGAAATTAGGTTTCGCTCGACAGTTTTTCCGGGGCTATCAGACGCCGTTTGAATTTTGACGGTCGGCCCAGTAGTTTCGGAGTGAGGAAGGGGGCTATGAATAGCCCCCCCCCCCCCCAGTAGGGCGTGTTATACGCAGACCCCAGTGGGGCGTGGGTTAAACAGCAATAGGGTGGTAGGGTGCAAACAATAACTATTATGAGTGACGTTTCCCGCGTCGGCCGATCTCCGCCTCTGCCGGCGCCATCTTACTCTTAGCAAGCCACTAACTGCCAAATTATGGTAAGATTAACTAGAGATTCTCATAACACTACAAATGTCGTATAAAGGAAGAAATGGGAAAATCGGCCAGTATCTCTTAGAGCTATGGGCGTATAAACGCAAAATAGTCACTATAGCAAATTTGATCACGTTTAACCTCATTTGATCTTGAATATATTGATCTAGGGCCATGAAATTGGCACACGATAAAGTTCCCCACCGCCCCACCTACAATTCAAATTCCGTTTTTTTTTTCAAATACCTTTTTTGGCTAAACCGGGCTTTTCTCCCCTAGCCTGCACTGGGAGAGTCAGGCGTATTTTCTTTTTGCAACCAAAGAGAGGCGCTGCCCGGAGAATGCCCTAGTTCATCATTAAAAAACTGGCTTACGATGACCAGCTATCTTCGTGGCTTGGTAGTAAGTGTGCCGAGTGTATCCACCTCGAAATCTAAAGGTCGCTGGCTCGCAGCGCTTCAGCCTGAAGTGTTTAACACGCATTTGTTTTATAAGCAGCATCTGGCCAGCCAGCCGGCAACTGTCGTGAGGGCTATAAATGTTCGTATCTAGGTAGCATTTGGCCAGTCGGCAACTGCCGTGAGGGCTGTACATATTTACGCGTGTTAGATTAGGTCAGGTCACGTCAGGTCAGGTTAGATTTGCTTTGGTTTGGGGTAAAAAGAAGCATCTCCGGGTAGCGCCTCTCCTTGGTTGCTAAAACGAAACACGCGAGTGCCAGACATTACGAAGTCCAAAAGACAGTTACGTAGACGTCGGCCCATCCTGGATTTTTTATATGATGTAGCTAATGTATAGGAGAATAAAATATGTAAAAATCAGCAAAATCGAAGGGTACCCATTTTTCAGAAAATCAAAATTTATTTTTTTGCATTTTAATTAAGTTCACTAATTAGTTAACCCGCGCCCCGCTGGGGGGGGCAGAATCTGCCCCCCTCCCGTTTTTCGCCAATAACTTCTAAACGCGTTACGCCAGCAACGTCAAACTTTCAGTACCTTATCATACATCAATTTGACACGTTCCCTGAAAATTTGAGCGAAATCCGTCGGAAATTTTTTGAGAAATTGACGTTTTTGTGACGTCATGTTATACGTGATTTTACTTTGTCTATTAAATGGCTATCTCGGTTTTTTGAAAATTTTGGATTTTGGCCCAAATTTTTTCAAAAAACTGACTTTTTTGGGAAAATTATGATAAAATCAAAAATTTTAGAAGGATCGAAAAAACCGGAATATATGTCAGAGAAGTAGTCTATGTGCACCTACTTACCAATTTTTAGAAGAATCGGTTCAAAAATGTGGGAGTTATTCAAAATTTTATGATGTCACGACACACAAAAATTTTGAAAAATGATTTTTTTGGAAGTTCTAGACCTCGTACGGAAACAAAAATAGCACCATTCGATTTGCCGTGAAAAACTGCATCGGATAGACACCTTTTTAGGCCTTAACAACCAACTTCAAAATTTGACCTCACTTGACCTGACCTTGACCTGACCTCGACCTGAAATTCATCCAGAGGTGGTCCATATCACTTATTGAGTGTGCCTATTGAATTCTGTGAGTAAAATGACCCATAAAACATGTGTCGCACATGCCCTTTTCTATATTTTGTTTTTGGTGACCTGACCTGACGTGACCTGACCTTGACCTTGACCTTTGAATGACATTGCATGCAACGAATATTGTCTTGGTAGTCTAAGAACACGTTTTGGGCAATCAGTCTCAGTCCATTCTTCGGCAACTACGGTGCAAGGCCGATACTGTAGAAACTTGCATTTTGTACCCTTGACCTGACCTTGACCTGACCTCTGACCTACTTAAGCAAAAAATTTTGGGCTCTTTAGATCCGCCTTGTTGAGAGCTTTCGATCGCCGTTTTCCCCGTCTTTCTACGACCATCGGTTCGGAAGTTAGACAGGGGGGGCAGAATCTGCCCCCCCCCCCAACAGGGCGCGTATGGCTGAATAGCCCAGCGGGGCGCGGGTTAAGAACGTCAGTATTGTTATCCTCAAATTAAAGCCTGACCTTTTCCCTCCATTTCACGCTTTGTCTCGTGGTGATATGTCTAAAATTTCAATGGTTATGACGCTTTAAAGATGATAATGTGCCTTGCCTAAGTCAATGTTTGATGACGTGTATCTCGGAAACGTGACGTCATATCTTGACAAAAATATGTCTCCTTTCTTTTCACATAGAGATGATTGAGTAGTTTCACAAAGTTTCGCAAAAATCGGAGGAGGTGAGGTTCAAAATGATCATTTTTTGTCCCACTTGACGTGGAATGCCCCTAGAATGAAGTCCTAAACAGAACAGAACCGCCCATGGCCCATGCTTCCATAGGTAACCTCAAACGCTAAAACGCTCTGGCCCCCAAAATCGTTACTGAGTCACTGAATTATCAGCCAATGAGCGTCGAGTCGAGTCTGACGCTGATTGGTGGAATTTCTGCTTGTGGACTGTGGTGCTAATTATGCTTACAGTGCTAACAGTGCTAGCTCAAAATTCGCCACTTTTCGTAGTGTTGGAAGGCCGGATTGCAACCAGCCCCCCCCCCAAACCAGAAGTTTCTTTGAGAGCATCCTTGATTTTCAATAATTTTTGGCTGGTTTGATTTAGTAATCCCATTTTGTTTTTCAGGTTCCCAGCTAGAAAAGTACTCGAGAGCTAAAAGAAATGCCCTTAAAGCATGTAGTCTCAAAAAGTGAACCAAGGTCCTCAAAGGTCAATGGGCTTGGCCTGATCTTCACATGACCTTGACACCCACCATGATGCATGGGGCCAACATCATTTCACACGTTTGAACGTTTACAACCACAAAAAGGCTGGAACCGCGCGGAAAACGTAAGCACATGCCGAATCGCGATTCCGGCAAAACATGGTCTCCAGAAATAGGTCACAGGTATAAGATCACTTGGGTCATGGTCATGAGATTTTCCGGGTATAGTTGTAAAATATCAGCTCTAGGGTGTTGAAACCTGAATCGCGATCGGCCGCTTTTTGCGCGAGCTATTCTTCTAAAACCGAGGGGATCCGGTCCGACCCCCCACTCTCTCCAGTGTAAGTGCGAGGGTTGAGGAGCATCACGATAAGTGTTGACCAAAACCGGTCAATGCTTCTTTTATCTCTTTCTTTTATCAACAGTTTGCATGGCAGTCACGAATTTCAACTGGAGAAGTGTTTGTTTTAAGAATCATCATTATATTGCTGACCCAATACCGGCCTTTCTTTCTTTCATCTCTTTCTCTCGCCAGCAGTCTGCACGGCAGCCACGAAAAAGGCGTTTCTTGTTACCTCGTTGTCGTTCGCGTGGCTGGTCATTATGCCTTAATCAGGGCGTTCTTCGACACTACCCCATCACCAACGTTGCTAATCTTCAAACCCGTTGCAGTGCCGACGAACGGCCGTCAGAGATGTCCACGTCTGATGGCCAGCGGGAACGTGACATCCAACCAAGCACTGAGGAGGAGACAGTGGAGGAGTCTGTGTCTGACGGTGACGTTGATGACTCTGACGGAGACCGGGAGGGTGGCGGTGACTGCCGTCGGCTACCGGTGCGGACGGCAGTGCTGACAGAGCCGTGCCTGGACGGGCTGCTGGAGCTGGCACGGGTCCGCTGCCACTGTGGACAGACCTGCCCACCGACGGTGCAACGCGTCCGCATGGCATTCAACGTAGAGTGGGTAAGCAAAATCTGTCTCCGGCAGTGCATACTAAGCAGGCACTGGTATTATTTTTGTGTGAAGAACCTCAGGTAGCGAAAACGACGCAATGTAGTGCTCCAAACGATTTAGTCAATGCTTGTGTTTGGCCTATTTTGCCTTAAAACCTGCATACTTACCATCAAAGTCACCTGCATCAGTCTTATTGCATGATAGTACGTGACAGAGGGTGCGGTTTAGTCTCAGTACTAAAACCAGTTTAACTAGACACAAAATCTGTTAAGGTTATGCTAAAGTCAGGTCAGCAATGTGTCGTTGATTTTTTCGATCGTGTGTTGCAGACCTGCTCGACGTGCGGCCCCAGATGGGCTTGGACCTCCGTCTCCACGGATCTGACGGCGCATCGGCAGGTAGGGGCAGCCCGGACAACCCGGTGACCAGGACCGCGCTCCTGGATGTCAATAGACTGTGGTGCTGCTCGTTGGACCACTGCTGTGTCTGGGAACGGTGGCGACAGCTGCCCTTGCCCTGCCAAGATTCTGTCGTGGTAGGCGTCCGTGAATCACGGGTGCCAGCGGTGTATTCGGCTGTGCTATGTAAGTTTGTGTGCCCCAAGTGTCCCTGCCTGTTTGAACTGGTTTACTCGGTGTCAATAAAGGATAGTTGATGTAATGGTTTCTCGATCGACTCAACGATATCGGTCGATCGCCGACCGCTGACAAATGGTGACCGGTCTGCGATCGAGGATACTGGACAGTGGACACATCTCGCTACATACATGGACTCGTTACCTTAATGGACTGGATAAGCATGCCGTTGTATTGAATGTAAGCATAGGCGGCGGAACGGGGAGGGCACCGGGGCACCGTGCCCCCTTTGATTTTGGCATTTTAACATTAGCCCTATGGGCGTTGCATGGAATTAAGAATGGGACCAAAAGTCGGCAGTGCCCGCCCCCCCCCCTTAATTGAAGGTGTTCCGCCGCTACTGAATGTTAGGTAGATGCTGAGTTCTAATAAAACTGAATCAATTAACCCTATTAGTGGCAGGCTCCTGGCTACCCCCTATTAGTGGCAGGGGGGGGGGGGGCTGCCCAGTAAACATGCCGACGTCGGCCCGACGTCGGGCCGAGGCTCGGCCCGATGTCGGCCCAACGTCGGTTCAACCTCGGCCCTACATCGGCTGGACGTCGGATATGCCCGCATGTTCCGACGTCCAGCCGAAGTCCAGCCGACGTCGAGCCGACGTCGGGCCGAGGTCGTTTGCCGAGGTTGACGAGATCGTTCGTCGTTGGACCGACGGGGCCGACGTCGGCATGTTTATTGGGACAACGCGCCAAAAATATCAACCGGCGGCGGGATTCGAGCCCCCCAGTCGCCGACGTCGGCATGTTTACGCCAAAAGCATCAGCCGGCGACGGGATTCGAACCCCGTATCATTTGAACGGGAGGTTAGTGCGCTAACCACTACACCACGCATCCAGATATCGAATTTAGTTTGTTTTGTTGGGTTATGCCCTTTCGGTCTGACAAGACCATTTCAGAGCCGGAAGGATGATAGGATGGAGACGTTAGTCTTCTTGGCCAGTGGCGCACCCAAGGGGGGGGGGCCTTGGGGCCCGGGCCCCCCCCGCTCGGTCATAATTAGGAGGCTCCCTGAGCACCGCTTAGGGTACTTTTACACTTGACTTTCCTGCCTAACCTACTATAATTCTGCACAAGATGCACTATCTGGGCAGAGGCCAGGAGGCCCCCTCTGGTAGGCGACCCTTGATGGGCAGGAGGCCCCTTCTGGATGTGAGGCACCTTCTCACAGGAGGCCCTATCTGGGCAGGAATCAAGAGGCCCCCTCTGGCAGGAGATCCTTCATGGGCAGGAGGCCCCCGAGGCTCCCTCTGCACAGGAGGCCCCCTCTGGTAAGCGACCCTTGATGGGCAGGAGGCCCCGTCTGGCAGGGGACCTTTTATGCACAGGAGGCCCCTTCTGGATTTGAGGCACCTCTCACAAGAGGCCCTATCTGGGCAGGAATCAAGAGGCCCCCTCTGGCAGGAGATCATTCATGAGCAGGAGGCCCCCGAGGCTCGCTCTTCACAGGAGGCCCTTTCTGGACAGGAGCAGGAGGCCCCCTCTGGCAGGAAAGCCTTTATAGGCAGGAGGCCCCTCTGGCAGGACACCTTTTCTGCTTAGTAGGCCCCTTCTGCATGGGAGGCTCCCTTCTGCACAGATGGCCCTATCTGGGTGGGAGCCAGGAGGCCCCCTCTGGCAGGAAATCTTATACTGGGCAGGAGGCCCCCTCTGGCAGGAAATCTTATACTGGGCAGGAGGCCCCGAGGTTTCCTCTACTTAGGGGCCCTTTCTGGGCCGGAGTCAGGGGGCCCCTCTGGCCTCTTGCAGGAGACCCTTTCTGGGCAGGAGGCCCTCTCTGAATGGGAGTCTCTCTCTGCATAAGAGGACATATCTTGGCAGCAGTCAGGAGGCCCCCTCTGCACAAAATGTCCTATCTGGGTAGGAGCCAGGAGGCCCCCTCTGGCAGGAGATCCTATATGGGCAGGAGGCCCCGAGACTCCCTCTGCACAGGAGGCCCTTTGTGGGCAGGAGCCAGGAGGCCCCCTCTGGCAGGAGACCCTTTATGGGCAGGAGTCCCCTCTGGCAGAGGACCTTTTATGCTTAGGAGGCCCCTTCTGGATGGGACGCTCCCTTCTGCACAGAGGGCCCTATCTAGGCAGGAGCCAGGAGGCCCCATCTGGCAGGAGCTCCTTTATGGGCAGGAGACCCCGAGGCTTCCTCTGCACAGGGGCCCTTTCTGGGCAGGAGTCAGGAGGCCCCTCTGGCCTCTTGAACGAGACCCTTTATGCCCTCTCCTGATGGAAGGCTCCCTCTGCACAAGAGGCCCCTTCTGGCAGGACTCTCTCTGGATCCCCTCTGGAAGGAGACCGTCTCTGGGAAAGAGGCCATCTCTGGATAGGAGGCCCCTCTTCACAAGAGGTCCTATCCGGGCAGCGCCTCGCCCTGGCAGGGCATTTTTCATAACGCGGCCTGGCAGAGGGGGGGGGGTCGATGCGACCCCCCTCGCGATTGGATCCTATGGCACCTAGAAATACCAAATTTGGTAGGTAGGTGGCCCTCTTAAAATCCTCGTCCCTGTGCAAATTTGGTTGCTCTAGGTCAATATTTAGGGTTTTTTGGGAGGTATAATTGTAAAAAAATTGCTAAAACAGGTCAAAAGTTTTCGCTGATAACTTTTGATTTAATTAACCCGCGCCGGGCAGGTGCTCCGCGACTTCCGCGCCGGGCCGGGGGGGTGTCTGAAAACCCCCCTTCTAACTCGGCTCCTGGGTCACGTAGCGACACGCGGTAAGCGGCATTCAAAAGAGCGTCCAAAATAAGTACGAAAACACTTCAGTCATTTTTTGGGTCAGGTCAAAGGTCAGGTTACCAGAGGTCACCAAAGGTAAAATGTTGGCTATTTCAACATTTTGGAAACTGCCAACGGCTAACTCGGGAACCGATAGAGCTACAGCGCCGCGGAAAAGCGCATTCGATAGCTCTTTTGACGCTCTTTCGCCAATATGTCCTCAGATTTGACCTCAGGTCAACGGTTTAGCCTCCAGAGGGCAAAAACTCCAAAAATAGCCGTTTTTTACGAACAGTGTTTTTCGGCAATAACTTCTGACTCAAAAAAGCCACGACATTACTTTTGCCAGAATCGTGTTCCTCTTGTCAAAACGCGTCGAATGAACTATAAGTTGACCTTAAAAAGTCAACTTAAAAATTTGACCTCAGGACCTGACCGGAAAAGGTCATGTTGCATATCAGTCGATCCGCATCGTCGAGCCGAACACATCTAAGGCGTTTTCATCGCTCTATCATGCCTCTATCAGAAGTTATTAGCAAAAAACTGTTAGATACTATTCGTGACCTGAGATGACCTCGGGGACATCTCAGAACGAGGGGTCACACTCCGGGTCACAGGTGCAATTTTCGGGTTCAGTGTGTCCATTTTACCTACATCCCGATGTTTGAGAGTGTCTAGAATGGCGTTCGTGCAAAACAGACGCCTTTCAATTTTCTCCCATTGAATTATAATAGAGAGGCCGCAAAATTGACCTGACCTTAGGTCACCGATATCGAAATTCCGAGATACACGTTTAATAGGTTTTTATACACGCTTTTATAGGATACACGAGATACACTGTTACTCTCATCAATCGCTGAAAGTTTCAAGGCAATCGTGCGGTCGGTGTAGCCATGACGAACATTCTAATTTGTTTCTGACCTGACCTTGAGAGACCTGGGTCTGAAATTTTCACAGCATGTGCGGAAAAGATGCACGAACAGGTGTGTTAAAAACGGCGGCGCGGAGCTGCGAAAAGCCGCCGGGGGGGGGGGGTGTTCAAATACCCCCCGGCCCGGCGCGGGTTAAGATAGAGCAAAACAAAAGCACCAGTGAACTCAGCACGTCAAGGCGTGTCGAATGATATACTTTTTTTGTTTGCTTAAGTGTACTTAAAAGTGTAGGTATTAAAGTGTACTTAAGTGCACAACTTAAGTAAAACTTAAGTCTTAGGAATGGTTGAAATGCTTAATGTTGCATATCATTCGACTCAGCTGTTCAAGAGGAACAGAATGATACCATTTTGAAACCTGTTCTATTATGTGACAAGTTATCGGCACAAACGTCATTTGACCTGAGTTGACCTCATTTGACCTGAACCTTAGATAAGTACACCAAACAAAGAAACACCGAGTGACATTATGTTAAGTACTGTGGTATCAAAGAACAAAAGGGATACAACGAAGCGGACATCTCTATATTTTCCGAATAGGAGTTATTTGAATATTTTCCCATAGGCTTAACATTACGACGTAATGACCCCTAACTGACCTCAGGTCAGTGACATAAAAAACGAACTACATATTATACAGCTCGGTGAACTTAGCACATCCTGAAAGTTTGAAGGAAATCAGTCCAAAACTGTGCGTTGGACAGGTACATAAAAAATTAAATTTGACCATAACCTTGTACCCGTTTTTCTGACATGGTGGCCTGACCCAAGGTCGACCGGACCTGAAATTTGCAGATCACATGAAAAAAGGTTGCCCCATAGGTTGTGCCAAATTTAGCGGCGTTGCGCGCCGCCAATTTTACGCTATCTTTGAAAAACCTTAGGGGGGGGGGTCGCATCGACCCCCCTGCCAGGGTGAGGGTTAAGCTTTACTAATAACGCTAAGAACGTCACCAAACATACAGAGGCCGTCAAAAAGTAAGCCATTTGGAGGCCCCCTCGATAGAGAAAAGGCCCCCTGGCAAGCGGAACACGGAGGCCCCTTTGAGCCCGGGCCCCCTCCCCTGGAAAATCCTGGGTGCGCCCCTGTCCCAGCCAGCAATGTTGCTCCGGGCCCAAGCAGGCTCAAGTGCGGATTGCCCAAGATTTTTAGTCGGGCTAAAGTCGGCTAGGGCTTGGGCTAAAGTCGGCGTATGACACAAAAACGCCGACTAAAGCCCATGCTCTGCCGGAGGTATGCCCGCTCTGCGAGCTCCGGACAGCCGTAGTTTAGCCCTAGTTGAGCGACGATTGGCGTTAGCCCGATTTAAGCCCGAGCAGTGAATCCATTTATATAATGGAGATTACTCTGGGCCCGAGCGGGCTGAACTCCGGCAAGCCCACTCTGTGTGCCCTGTCTATCCCGACTTAAGCCATAGAAGTGAATGGGGTTTATACATTGCAAACTGCTGTGGCTTTGCTCGGGTTCGGCTCGAGTGACGGCTCCTGTTTTCTCAAGTCTCGACTTGACTTCATCTTGCTTTTGCTTCACACTGGATCAAGTAGCAAGGAGCAGCCAATGCACTTTCAGCAGGTTGTGCGGTTTCAATGCATATTTAAAATTGTTACGGTCACTCATATGCTCTGTTAACCGGTCATCGAGCATTGCGAAAGGAAAGTAGTGGTTGACTTTGATAGTGAATGTGTATTATAAACGACTACAGACACTCAAATGAAACACAAATACATGAAACAGTGGAGTGCAAACTGCAGCAATAATATGACATGAGTCATGAAAAAGCGCCATCAAAACTATAAAACAATCAAAGGCCCGCTAGCCTCCTTCCCCGTTCATAATACTTGGTTGAACACTCAACCGAAAGCATAAAGTAGGTAAGGACAGCAAGTAATCGCTCATAAGACATAAAGCAATTAGCAAACAATCGTTTATAAGGAATTTCACTCTGGTGAATGGGAGCTTTGGAGGCGTCTGGCTCCTCCACACATATACACATCTGCAGTAGGTGGTCGGCCAGCTTTCGGCGCAGTTTCAGTATATGTAGGTATACCTACTTAATTATAAGCAGGCAGTTTCCGCCACTTGGCGAGGGCGACAGCGGCGTCCACCCGGTCCTGGTTTGTATAACTATTCCATTTTTTTGGAACCATTTGCTCTAATGGTACGTACCTGAAAAAGAGATTAATTGGTTTAATTTACATTGCATGTTTGCTTCAAAAATAACTTATTGATGCATTAATACTGTAAAAGCACTTCTCATTGATCCGTATAAAATGATCATTCGATTTTCAACGCGGACAGAGAATGAGCGTGCTCGGTGATAAGTAGATAAATATTTGTGTTTTGTATTTCATTTTCCTGGTTCAGAGGTGCTGGTATTTCACAAAGATATGAAGGCACGGAATGCGGCTTTTCTGAGCGAGGGTATAAATCGCCAGGCTGAACAGCTATTCAGCTTCATGTTTGATGGCGTGAAACTCAGTCAAAATCATGACGTTTACATACGATCAAGCGCACCATTCAATACACTTACCTACCGTAAAACTCCATGCCAGTCCACGTGATAAGAGCAGTGAGCACTATCCCTTCTTCGCGCTGTCACACGCGCCCAAACATCAACCACCAAATGCCCCAACACCGGTGTGTCGTTTCGTCGCACAGCGCACAGACTGTCACAAACGCTGCACATGGTTGGCGCAGAGCTGCGCATGCGCGAACAGCCGAACAAGTATGGCTAAGCTCCGGCTTTACTCCAGTTAGCCGAAGGACACAGCCAGCTTGATCAGCCCGCGCTCCGCCCAAGTTAAGCCTGTTTTGGATGCGCGGGCAGATGTCGGGCTGAGCTACTGCTATCCTCACTTGGGCATAGCTGCGGCATGCCCCAGCTCAGCCCTAGTAAAAAATGCATTGGTTTTGATCAAAGTGGGCAAACCCAAGCTAAGCCCAAGCTGCCCAACGTTTGCCACAGTTCAGCCCAAGCGAATTGCTGGCTGGGGTTCTTGGCGAGCACCCTGGGTCCAGTTCATGTAGAGTCCATGGTCCCATTGCTGTTACGTGACACTTATTGGAAAGGGCGACCCCACAATGGATTCATATAGCCACTCTTACACACCTGCACCAACGTTTCCCAAAGTGTCCCTTTGATAAGTGGCACTTTGGCAAAGTGACACTTGCCGACTGGCCTTTCTACATGAACTGGGCCCGGCCCTGGTGAGTTGCCGGGGCTGAGCCTGACCAAAGGATAGGCCGAGCAGCCCCCAAGCACTCACCGCACCCGGCTACGGGCGAGCTCGGCTTACGGGCAATCAAATAATGTGATAAAGTTCCCCGTCCAGTCCGGATCAGGGGGTTGCGGCGTGGAGGAAGATTTGAGTTTCCTGAGGATATTTTGAATACAGAAGCTTTTTATGAAACATGAAACATGTATTTTATATTATTTTAACGGTCGAAACAGCGGCCGATGTCGGTCCGACGTCGCCCCGACGTCGGCCCGACGTCGGCTGGACCTCAGCAATTGATCTCGGTCCGACGTCGGCCCGACGTCGGCTGGACCTCGGCTGGACGTCGGTACATGCGGGCATATCCGACATCCAGCCGACGTCGTGCCGAGGTTGGACCGACGTCGGGCCGACGTCGGCATGCCGATGCCGAGTTGCCGACGTCACCCCGACGTCGGCCGACGTCGGGCCGACGTCGGCATGTTTACTGGGTGTTTACGACCCCCCCTTGATATCTCGAGATCTAACGGGCCGATTTTCAAAATTCAAACGGCGTTCGATTTCGCTCAGCGTGATCTACATTTCTAAAAAAAATAAAATTAAAAAATGTCAATAGGGGGGGGGGGGTAGAGGGGGGTAAAAACGGGCAAATTGCAGATACATTTTAGACTGTTTATCACGGCCAGGTTTCTGAACCAATCTTAACGCAACTTTTGCCGATCGATAGAGAATGAACCAGGAATTCACATGGATCCCAAAAATATGCATTTTCAAAAATCATAGGCGGATACAGATCATTGAGATTGGGGGTACACAAAAAGTATAGTAAATAAGGTTTTTGTTGGTACTGTTTCTAAAAATGGTGGTAATGGTCTTGTTATGTTACAATTTTCTTATGAGAGAACGACTACAATTGTATTGGTCATGCATAGGCGGTGTCAGGGCACCTATGTTGGGAGGTAAAACATAACCCCCCTTTTTGGACGCCTGGATCCGCCTATTATAGCAAAAACGTGTCAAAAGAGGATGCACAATAACTGTATATGTTATCACATGATACCTTTCATTCACTGTTCGTAAAACTGGTGCAGCATCGTGATCTTCGCCCAAATGACTCGCTTCACGAATAGGACCCCCCAATTCCCAGTGCTCTGGAGCCGCCCCTGGTAAAGTTATGAACTTGAAATTTTCAGGGAATGTGCCCAATTTAGTTTTAGGAAAAGTCAGAAAATTTCAGCATCGTAGCTTCAGCGGTTTCGGAGATATTCCCGAAAAACCTGAGGGGTGGATAAAAACAACCCCCCCCCCTGCCACTAATAGGGTTAAGATTGCTACGAACTTCGTTGCATGTTGGGAGGTTCCGTCATGCATTGCTATAGCTATGGTGAGAGGTAGGTGCAACTTGCACCTACCTCTCACCATAGCTATAGCAATCATGCAAGCGGTGCAAGATTACTTTGATAGGTGGTGCAAGTAAAATTGTAGATACAGGATATGTTTGAAGGTATTTATGATATGGTGTCACTGGCTTGTATATGGTATCAACGCTATTCCCGACATATTTGGCGTCTTTGAGACCATCCGAAAATTTAAGCTTCATTGTGTTGCGAATATAGAATATTACGTCAAAAGAATTAAGTAGCATCGTTAATTTTTTCCTCTGAAAGACCTAATTGTTTTCATAAAATGTTTGAGAAACCATCAAATACTGAATGGGAGAGGATAGTTAAAATATTTCATAAATTATTTTGGTCTTCAATGCAAATTGCCGGATTTTTGACGTCATCAGTTTAATTTTTACCGCCTTCGGTCTCGAAGACACATCTCTACCGAAACAAATCCTTGAACAAAGCCCACAAATCCCAAACAGAAACAACAGCAAGAAGAGGTTGGGTGAGGATCGTGGGGATTTGCGACCACTTTTATTTTAACAAGGCACTTTCTTCCCAAAAAAGTTAGAGATGGCTGCGAAGTTTGAACACTACAAGGCTGAACTGGAAAAGTTTCTTAATAAAAGGAACAAATTTACAGAATATCTTGAACTTGCTGAGAAGAAGACCGGTGTCCAGCGCCTCTACATCTTCCTTGGTAAGGCCATTGGGGAAGCAATAAATGTTCTCGTGTCGTGTATCATATGGTGTATCTTCAGTGTTAGTAAAAATGTCAATTTTTTGTTGCAATTAATTCAGACTGGAGAAGAACAGGTATTGTCCACATGTCCGGCGTAACAGGCAGATTGTGCCAAAATTTCAGCCCATTAGGTACCTGGCATGAGTCAGTGAGTCAAAATTTTGACACAAGGATAATTGAAGAAATGTTGGCACAGGTGGATGGGACGACGGTGAAAACAGGGCGCCTGGGGCAATTTGATCAAGGTTCTTGAAATTCACCTTACCTTACCTTACCTTAGGAGTACACGGAATTTAGAGGCCTGTGTAGACCTGTTGGTCCGGATCTTTACTTTAAGCACTAGCTCGTGGAAGGTTACTGGTCGTCGAAGGCAGAGGAGAAGCGGATAGCTTCCCAGTGGATGTCCAGTCGGGATTTAAAGGTGTTGACAGAGGGTGCAGCAACGACGTGTAGAGGTAGGCTGTTCCAACTGTTGACCACTCTGACGCTGAGGAAGTTCCGTCTTGCTCTAGAGACGGCTTGGGGCTTGTGGAGCTTGAAGCCGTGACTCCGCGTGATCCCAGTCTCGGACAGGCGAAGAAGTTCATCGTCAACGTCCATCGCGTCGTGGAGGATCTGGTAGATGACGATCATGTCGCCCCGTCGTCGGCGGTACGTCAGCGACGGTAAACCAAGCAGACGCAGTCTCGTAGAGTAAGGCTTCGTACGCAGCTCTGGCACCAGTTTCGTTGCTCTGCGCTGTACCCTCTCAACCAGCTTTTGGTCGCCTATCGAGTAGGGGCCCCAGATGCAGTTGCTAAACTCCAAGTGAGGCCGAATCAGGGACTTGAAAAGCAAGGGCAGAGACTTCGCGTCGAGGTTCACGAACGATTTCTTAACCAGGCCCAGAACCCTGTTTGCCCTAGCAACAGCTGCTGCGGTCTGCTGGTGAAAGTCGAGCGACCCGTCGACAACTATTCCCAGGTCCTTCTCACTCTCCGTGGCCTCCAATGGTCTCCCCAGCATTGTGTATGTCGCGTTCTGGTTTCCAGGGCCAAGGTGTAGTACGTGACACTTATCCAAGTTGAACGGAAGCTGCCACAGCTGCGACCAGTTTCCAAGTTCATTTAAATCGGTTTGGAGCACGTCTCTAGCCTCTGGGGAGTGCACAGGGCGAAACACTTTGCAATCATCAGCAAACAGCTTGATGGAGGACGAGATGTGGCCAGGCAAGTCGTTGATGTAGAGCAGAAACAGAAGAGGTCCCAAGACAGAGCCCTGTGGCACTCCACTGGTTACAGTTGATCTTGTGGACTTGACCCCTTCGACTACGACCTGCTGGGTTCTGTCAGCAAGGAAGGCTCTTACCCAGTCCAGAGTCTTACCAACTATGCCGTAAGTCTCCAGCTTCAACAGGAGTCTACCATGAGGCACAGAGTCGAACGCCTTCTTGAAGTCTAGATACACAGCGTCCAGTGGCTGCTTGGCCTCAATTGTCTGGGTCCAGATGTCCATAGCTTCCAGCATCTGGGTACTACAAGATCGGCGAGGGCGAAAACCATGCTGGTGGGGACTAAGCAAGTTGCTCATAGTGAGATGGCTCATTATCTTGTCTCTCATGATAGCTTCCATGACTTTACATACGATGGATGTGAGACTAATTGGTCGGTAGTTGCTCGCCGATTGCCTTGGTCCTTTCTTGTAAATCGGTACGACAAGAGCGTGGCGCCATTCAACTGGTATGCAAGAGGTCTGGATACAAGCATTGAAGATGACTGCAAGTGGGCAGGCCAGCTGTGGAGCTAGCTCCTTGAGCACGCGGGGATGCAGCCCATCAGGGCCAGGGGCTCCTGAAACATTAACCTTTAGGAGTTTCAGGTAAACCTCTTCTGGTGTTATAGTCACTTCAGACAGGGTGCCCCCAGGAAGAGAATGGTGCTCAGGTTCTGGCAGAGAGGTCTGGTCCTCAGTGGTGAAGACGCTGCAGAAATACCGGTTGAGCAGATCTGCCTTATCGTTGGGTGAGCTCCTTGGTTGACCTAGCTCGTCTTCAATAACGTCAATCCCTTCACACGTGACATTTAGCATGTAGAAGGCCCACAAAGGGGGAGTAGTTCCAAATGTCACGTGGCTAATTTGCCCTCTCCGGCACCCTGTTTTCACCGGCGTCCGGTGGACGAGTTAAAGAAATTTTGGGACAAGATGACAAGATCCAACCTTAGCTAGCTCTCTCTCCTTACCTACAGTCTACATTTTAATTCAAATTGAGTACCGTAAAACGGGGTGTTAAGGGACAGTTTTGAGGTGTTTTGTTATATAACTCAAGAAGGGTTGGAGATAGAAGCATCAAATTGTCAGCATTTTATGTGGAATTTGGTGCTTTACATGCCTGCTACATTTAAGTTTTAAAAATATATACATGCATATTATTTTTTATTATTTTTCATCACTGTCCCTTAGCACCCCAATGTGGGGTGTTAAGGGACACCTATATTATTCCAAGAAATGGTCATCAAATGCCCACAATTGGGGTGTGGAAGGGCACACAATTTATTTATTGAAATGTTTTGCATATTCTGTCACAAAACAAGTCAGGTTCATTCACCACTAATGACCTTTTTAGCCAATTACGTGTAATGCAGTTTACGCTTGTGGAAAATGTGCTAATTATAAGGTAAACAGAACCAAAAAGTGATCTTCTGTCATCAATAAAAACCCATGTTGAAGCTAGTCACTTGTCATTATGTTGCCCTCTTTGTTTTAGCCTTTTTATGATGACATCACATTTACCTACATCTGTCTCCATTGACCCATCATTGTAAAAGAGAGTGTTGAGATGTTTTGTTACATAACTAAAGATTTGTTAGAGATAAAAGCATGAACTTGCCAGCATTTTAGGTGGAATTTGGTGCTTTTCATGCCTACTTAATTAAATTATATTTAGATATTATTTTTTATTTTTTCTTCCCTGTCCCTTAGCACCCCACATCCACCTCAAAATATGCATGTATCCGGAAAAGAGGAAGAGGATGATGAATGAATGGGTGGATTTGCACAAGTTTTTCAGGAAACATGTGCAATACATATGACAATACACCTATGCATTCATTTTCCCTGTACACCCACTAGTTTATGTGGTACACACAGAGTTTTGGAGATATTTCAATTTTGTGAAAATGTAGCATGATTTTCAAATCCATTTTTGACCCAAATCATTTGCATGAAAAACCATACCATTTTCTCCTATGGTCAAGAGCAAAACAGTGTCAACTACCACACTGAAGTTTTTATTGAACCTTCTCAAATTAGGAAGTTAATATGACTCAAAGTTTTTCCCATGCAACTGTCCCTTAACACCCCACTGTCCCTTAACACCCCATTTTACGGTACTCACCTGTCCCTGGATTGACTCATGCCAGACAGGAAAAATCCATACACTACGTTTGACGCCATGGGGCTCGTGCTGAAATTTGGCACAATTGATTTTGTGCCAACATTTTGACAATTAGTGTTAAATGTTCAGGCTGATTTGTGACAAACCTTAGTCCTTACTTCCAATCAGACTTTTGGAGGTCCAGTTGTCTGTGGTCCTGTTGTTTGAGGTCCAATCGCCATTCCAATAATCCTTGGATGATAAGAACCAAGTTTTGGCACTAATTACCCTGGTTTTAGATAGGTACAGATTGTGTCAAAATTTAGCACAAATTGCTTGCACAAAATTGTGGCACATCAACATGAAAGCCCCCATGGCATCTGGTGACAGAACAGATGTACAGATGTGTGGTAAATGCCATTAAACTGCCAATATTATGAACAGTCAATGGCTATCTGCAATTTTCATTCTCATCTTGGATTTTCTAAAATCTTGAACTGAAACTTGGCAATTACTTGTGACTATTTCATGATCATGATGTATATTGTATACATTTCTTAAATCAATCTTTTTCAACCAAACATGTGCTCACGTGATAAAATGAATGTCGCCATCATGTTCTATGCCCAAAAGTACGTGTCATATGCTGTGAATACCAGTTTTGATTTTCAGAGATAAAGTCCTTAGTTAATGGGTGACCTTTGAAAAGTCAATGGCAAGTGTCAAGAGAATTCGGGCCCCATGTTACTTCTTGAAGTGGTTCATGTCCTGTGGTGAAATAGCTCTATTTGTTTCCGAGTTATGCGTCGGTTTTTCGAAAAAAATATTGAAATGGGCATAATATTGCCTTTGATGACCTCAGTTGGGCAAACTAGGCGGCTGGAATCAAAATATGGAGGCATCAAAATATTGATTCTAGTGGGCGGAGCTTTGACCATATATGGGCATAGAATCAATATTTTGATTCAATTTGGGACATTCCCACCTTCAGACGACCCGTTACGGCGGAAATAACCCCCATGACGGCGAGATTTTTTGACAAGTCAATACAAAAAACTTCCCCGCTTAAATTTTTCGCTGCATGGCTATCAGCCGTTTGTCGCGCGTACCTTTACGAACGGCATAAAGATTTCGCCGCCATAATTCAACAAAAACGTGCTGTTAAAACTTGCTCTGTTTATCATTAACGACGAGCCTTTGTAATTTTTTCATAATTTTGTCTAAAAGAAAATAAAAAATGCGTTATATAGTTGTATAATTCATTTGTAAGAAATATTCTTTTTCTTTGTATCCAGCCACGATTTCCGGTTCCCGCCATTTCGCGCCGGCGTCGTGGGTGTTTGGATGCAACGTAGTGCTCCCGGTTTTATTTTGTTTAAGCGACCTTTTCTGAAGTGTAAGTAACAATGGATCATATTTTAAGATACTTTGAAGTGTGTTTTTCAATTTCAGGCATGTGATCTTAACGTTTCTTACCGAAAACTCGTTTTAAGAGATGGTTTTAGGTACGTGGCGCGGTAGCGACGTCAGCGGCGCGGGACGCCTTCTCACTCTTCTAATGTCTTTTTAAGCTATATTTTTTTGAAAATGATGTCTTAGGTGTAGTATTTCAGTGAAATATGATGTCCTTTAAAAGTTACGGTATAAATTAGTTACAAGAAGCCTAATGTTTTGTCTCGCATGATAGAATTGTTGGGTGGACTCATGAATTGGGGGCAGTGCTTGTCCAATATTTTTCATAATTTGGATGTTTTAGCCTCTGCTTGTGTCTCACTCACCCAATTGTTGCTACAACTTTAATTTGTAGCATTTAAATTTTTAGGGGAAACTAGGTTATTGACTTGTTCCGAGTTAAGATTGAAAGGTCATAGTGCATGTTCGTGTTTGCCTTATCTAAGTAGTAGGTATGTATGCTTGGCTTGTAATTGCTTCGCCCATTTTTGCTTCATATTTAATGACGCTTATTTTAAGTGTAACAAAAGCAAGTTGCTGAATGGTGTAAGCTATATTTACATTATGCGTGATCTTCAAGAAAATTATGTGGCTAATTTACGTCAGTCCAGGGAATGCTGGATAGTTAATTTTCAGGATTGTCCATGCCAAAGTTAATTTTAGAGGCCAGTTTTATCAACACAAATAGCTGCCTGCTTGAATTTTTTGCCTAAAGACTGCTTCACATGGAGCTAACATGATGGGCACGTAAACGGATAGGGTTGTACCGTTCATGCTCTGTATGTGAAGTAACTTTTAGACAAAAAAATCCAGCAGTCACCTATTTTTCTGTTGGTACAACTGGCCTCATCTACTTTTTGGCAGAATTTTTATAACTGCATGAAATGACAGTTGTTGGCACACCTGGTGGCGTTCAGTGGAAATTTAAGTGACAATTTAATTTTTTAATGAATATATTCTAAAATTAATAGTTGGTGAACAAGTAGAATAATAACACATATAGTTTCCTAATTTATTGTCCACAAATGTCCTAATTATTGTGTTCTGTTGTTTGCTGCAGGTTAACCAAGGATCAAACACTGGTTGTTGCGGGGATCGGCTTCAGAGGGTCAATGATGGCGTCTTGAATCGCTGTTCAGTCGACAGGCAACTGTATGACAACGCCATCCCTGTCAACCAGAGCGTCGACCGAAGTAGGGCGGCGTTGCGCGGACCTGGCCGCACCCGACCAACCGGTGCCCGGTGGAGTACCTGACTCGGGCTGGGCCGAGACTACCTACATCACGACCTTTTGAACTTTGATCTCGTGGCGAGAAACAATATGACGTAAGGAAGTGTGTATGTGGCTGGCGGGGCCGAGGGTGAAATGCGCCACGTGTTTATCCTGCCGGATGACGACAGCGTCACCAACCTGTCAAAGAACGAGCTGGTGCAGCGCGTGATGACTGCTATCTCGTCCCTAGAACCGGAGTAGAAAAACGTGCGCATAGCCCAAATGAAGCGAACCAAAACACAGACAGGACTGATAGCTTTTTGGTCGAGAATGTTCTGAAGATGCTGATCAGTAAACCAATTGGTGACCGTTTTCGGTGGTAATATGGGATCTTGTGGTGTTCCAAAGCGACCTGCTTTGGGTGTGGACATAAGTGGCTCAACCTGACAGGATTGATGTTTTAGGTAGCCGTGCTAATCATAAACCCTATATTGAGTGTATCTGTACAAATTTTGTTAATATTTATTTCATGTATTTGATTCGAAACCGAAAATTGCTCTTTGTAATTAGGCAACATCGAGACGTTGAGGTCATTCTCCAGACGTTTATTTGTTTTTTCTTACCTGTCCACGGTATGTCTTATTGGTTAGGTCTCAGTTTCAAATATTATTAACTGCATGTTTTGCAAATACGTAGCCATATTGAATAAGAGACGTGTCCTAAAAGTGAGTATTGCTTTGCATGGGATGTGAGCATCAACGAGTGGGCTTTGTGATGGCAAATGTGTGGCAATTGCAGGGATCGTTGTGAAATGTGTTATGAAATCGTATTATTTGCGACTGCAAATACATCCGTGTATCATATATTCATTCAAATTGTGCAATTTGTGCAACGGGCTTGAGTATATTGTTCGGCGAAATATCTCTTACTGTACTCCACAGAAATGGGACGGGATACATATGCGTAGAAACACAATCATGAACACGTGAAAGACGATAAGTTAACTTTTTTTTTACTCAAAATCAATGCTACAAAGCAGGGGTGTGGAGCCGTGAAAATGTCAGACGGCTTCGGCTCCGGAGGAAAAAATCGGCTCCAGCTCCGGATCCGAGCAAAATGGTCGGGCTTCGGTTCCGGCTCCGACTCAGTACAACCCCTATACAAAGGTCAGCACGGCTCCCTTCACGCATTCCCTCGAAGGCTTGCAGCTTTGAGCAGGGAGCCAGGGTGAGTGCTGAAAATCCCTGGTCTACCGTGGGAATAAGGTCTAGAAAAAAATTACACGATCCTGTGCTGATAATATCTTCATGAATTTATTGAATTTGCATTATTTGCACACAAGAAACATTCCATAAATCAATTTGAAGAGTGAAGTACGTCTGCAGAAAGTCAGTTCGCAGAATCAATATATTGATAAACCAGCTGATTTCAGAATCAAAATAATGATTAGCCAGCTGTTTGCGGAATCAAAACATTGATTCTCGCCGGGATAAGCCGCCGTGATGAATCAATATCTTGATTATTTTCAAGACGCTTTCCTAAACTAACCAAAGAGGTTAGGGCTATTGTTTCGTGCCTGGCGGGTAGCTTCAACGTTGCTCTTCATTTTGTGAAGAAACTATCTTGAAATTATAGCCGGTTGCTGAAGAATTGACGTTTCTGTGATGGTCTGCACGTATGCCCAAATATGGTCAAAGCTCCGCCCACTAGAATCAATATTTTGATGCCTCCATATTTTGATTCCCGCCGCCTAGTTTGCCCAACTGACCTCTAGTCTGATGACCTGACCTTTTACCTGACCCGAAAATGACTGATTTATTTTTGTGGTGATTTTAATGCCCTTTTGAATGTCGTTTACCGCGTGTCACTACGTAGCTCAGGAGCCGAGTTAGAAGGGGGGGGGAGTTCAAATACCACCATCCCCCCCGGCCCGGCGCGGTTGGCGCCGAGCCACGAAACAGCTACCGATGCAGCTCTGTTCGGCAGCCGGCTATTTTGTGTGCAGGGTATGACGTATTTCGCGAGCCGACGTCACAGGCGGTGACGTCGGCTCGCGCGCGAGCCGAGCGCCAACGACAAACTAACGGGAACCCTCGGACACCCTCGGGGCATAAACTGCGGAGTAGCATATTGAGCGAGTCTTATAAGGAAAATTCATATATTTTCGTTTCTCAAATGATAATCAGGGTGTCTCTTACCTTTTTACATATCATTTAGGCTTACCTAACACTTCAGTTGCCAAATATCTGCAATTTATTCAAGCGAAGGTATTTTCAGTAAATATCAATGGTATAGACCGAAATCTTTTGAATAAAAACTCCAACCAACAGAAATAAAAATAACTTGATTTATTCCAACCATTTCCTCCAAATAAACAACATAAAAACTCGCTTTTACACACATCATTCATAATAAAGCACACTAACTTTTGACTTTTGACAATTGCGGCGTCGAGTGGCGCGCTGCTAGCGCTCTTTTTCGATCGCAGAGACCCTGCACGCGCGCGAGCACACTACGTCACGTCCGGGGGGCACAGGTATATGAAAAATCGCAGTGACGTAACACTTTTCTCGCTTCTCATTGGTCAATAGCCCGTTGCCGGGGTAACGTGCACGTATGTGAGCGCGGGCAAGAGTACTAGCCGGCCGCCGATCAGAGCCCTGCTGATCGGCGGCCGGCTAGTACTCTTGCCCGCGCTCACATACGTGCACGTTACCCCGGCAACGGGCTATTGACCAATGAGAAGCGAGAAAAGTGTTACGTCACTGCGATTTTTCATATACCTGTGCCCCCCCCGGACGTGACGTAGTGTGCTCGCGCGCGTGCAGGGTCTCTGCGATCGAAAAAGAGCGCTAGCAGCGCGCCACTCGACGCCGCAATTGTCAAAAGCGGCGTCTAAGTATGCTTTATTATGAATGATGTGTGTAAAAGTGAGTTTTTATTTTGTTTATTTGGAGGAAATGGTTTGAATAAATTATGTTATTTTTATTTCTGTTAGTTGGAGTTTTTATTCAAATTGATTTCGGTCTATACCATTCATATTTACCGAAAATACCTTCGCTTGAATAAATTGCAGATATTTGGCAACTGAAGTGTTAGGTAAGCCTAAATGATATGTAAAAAGGTAAGAGACATCCTGATTATCATTTGAGAAACGAAAATATATGAATTTTCCTTATAAGACTCGCTCAATATGCTACTCCGCGGTTTATGCCCCGAGGGTGTCCGAGGGTTCCCGTTAGTTTGTCGTTGGCGCTCGGCTCGCGCGCGAGCCGACGTCACCGCCTGTGACGTCGGCTCGCGAAATACGTCATACCCTGCACACAAAATAGCCGGCTGCCGAACAGCGCTCTAGTACTCTTGCCGGCGCTCACATACGTGCTGGTTGCCCCGGCAACGGGCTATTGACCAATGAGAAGCGAGGAAAGTGCAACGTCACTGCGATTTTTCATATACCTGTGCCCCCCGTAGCGCGCTTCTCATTGGTCAATAGCCCGTTGCCGGGGCAACGTGCACGTATGTGTGCGCGGGCTAGCGCGCTAGCCGGCCGCCGAAGGCAATCCATCCTGCAGATATGACCTTGCATGATAAAAATGGCTGGCGTCTTTCACATCCTACTGCCTTCGCATAAGTTTACACTGAGAGCATGAGTGGGCGAAACACAAATGTCCAACTTTTTGCAGCTAAACCCAGGGTATATTGAATTATAGGGCTAAACCATATGCACAGTCAGGTGCTTTGTGTTTTCAAGGTTGCTTTTAGAATCAGATACTGTTTGACAACCTAGTGAAACACCCAGTACACCAGCTTCTTTTCTGCATTAACCCGTTCCCTGCATCTGGGCGCCGATGACCTTGGAATTCCAGGGAATCGTCGGCATCATCAACACCATTCTTGCCTCTGCCCTCAGGCGTGGTTGCCCTGCTGGCGCTGTACCTGGCCTTCGGCTACGCCGCCGGTCTGCTGTGCAACATCATCGCGTTCGTGTACCCCGCCTACGCGTCCATCAAGGCCGTGGAGTCGTCGCGCAAGGAGGACGACACCCAGTGGCTGACCTACTGGGTGGTGTACGCCGTGTTCGGCACCGTCGAGTTCTTCTCCGACATCCTGCTCAGCTGGTTCCCGTTCTACTGGCTGTTCAAGTGTATGTTCCTGATGTACTGCGCCGTGCCGGCCTCGTGGAACGGCAGCGCCGTCATCTACAAGCGTGTCATCAGGCCCCACTTCCTCAAGTATGAGAGTGATCTGGACGAGATTGCCGATGAGATCCGTGAAAAGGCCAAGAAGTATGTCGACCTGTCGGCGCAGAAGGGTGAGCAATTTACCGTTGATTAATATATTGCTTGTCAGGATCTGTTGTCACCCTAACGCACATTCGGTGCGGGTTGACTTGGAGTAGTTCGGGACTAGCGGGTGGGATTTATGCCGGTCTTATGCCTGACTAGCTTTGGTGGTTTGCTCAAGATACGGTCGGACCGATAGGGCGTTGCTGTTTGCACGGTGCTTGTGTGTTTTCTGTGATAAAGGCAGTGATGTCGGTGGTTCGTGGTAGAGATTGTTACGCTTGCTTTATACCAACATAGCTATGCTTTATGCCCAGCATGCGCTTAGGGGTAAGGTTTCTCAGATAGTGCATGTTCCTCCGTTCCTCGCGAATTTTAATACAGATCAAACAATGTCACTTAACTCACTCATGGATTGCGCTCATTGCCGGGTGGAATGTATCCTCACTGACTGTCAGGAATCGCCAGCCCACGATCCATTGTCCACGCGTGAATGTCCTCGAGCTATTGCTCGCGCACAGCGTATTAAACAGCCGACATGACCAGATCTTGGTGCCTGTATTGTTAACACCCTGTTCCTGCGGCCTTTTTCAGCGATGGAGACTGCCAGCGATGCCGCTAATAAGCTGGAGTGAGAGAGGGGTCGCCACAGGGGCGAACTGAGCGAGCTCCAGCCGCAGCAGAGCCGTCCTTCGCGACCGACCGCCAGTGTGTCTGGTGCTTTACAAGGACGTATGTCAGCGTGCACGGGACCGGCAGTGGACTCTGGTGGCTGTCCGAAGCCCTCACTCATGGTCTTTGTACATGTTTTTGGGAGGCGTACTGTCCCGCTTGGTCTGTTTCTTAGGATCTTTTTTGATAGTTTTTCCTTTTCGTAGCCAGGCGACGGCTCTAAGTTCGTAAGCTGTTGCCTGTGTGTGGCACCTCTTCAAAGTGTAATCAATGTATTCTGGTGCTTGGGCAGTTTTACAGGCATCTGCGCCCTCCGATGATAACGCGCTGTTATTGGTGACCCAGTGCCTCGCGATCGCTTGCAAGATTATTACATGCTGGTTGTGAATCTCGCTCTATCCATGCATCGTTGTTGCTGTCAGGCTTGTTGCACTGCAGTCGCACTGTGTGCGAGCCGCGAGGTTTATATATTCTGGTCTATCGCTCTTCGACATGCCAAGCTGGTCACAACAAGCTATCGGGCAATCTGAGCGTCACCTGTCTCGTCACTAGTCTTGTTTGGAATAACAAACTAGTATTGCTGTGAATCCCTTCTACCGAAAATAAAGCTTTAAGTCATTGCTATTTCTTTCAGGTTCCGCATAGTTAGCTCAAGCGTACCTATATCAGTTTCTGGTTAGATGTTGAGATGTTGATCAGAGCGGGCAGTTACACTTGGCAAGAATGATTGCACTCCGAAAGCAGTTCACAGTTGCCTGAATGAAGGATTGGCACGGAGAGTAGGCAACTAGATTCACAAAACTGTTCAAAGCGACTTACCAGCTTGACTTTTGTTTTGCACAATTAACTCCGCGATGGAAGCGCTGATGCGACATTTGAAGCTTTCCGCCCCCGACAACATGAGCTTTGAGTTAGTCCAACTGATCGTGTGACCTACGACCAAGCATTCATTTCCTCCCACCCACACCGGCCGGCCGCCCGGCAGGCTCGGGCCGTGTCAGCTTTTGTTTTTGTTTTGTTGGGTTAGGCCCTTTCGGTCTGACAAGACCATTGCAGAGCCGGAAGGATGATAGGAATTAGGGGGAGACATTGGTCTGGGCAGACACCCTAGAGAGTCGCCGGGGCTGAGCCCGTCCGAATGGACAGGCCGACCAGCCCCCCAAGCACTCCCTGCACCCGGCTACGGGGTGCACTCCCTCAGGAGCAGCGGTGCCGCTCCAAGGGAGCAGCCCGCATGAGATAAAGGTGCCTGTCTAGCCCGGAGTGGGGTTGCGGCGTGGAGGAGAAGGATTTCTGCATCCTGAGGATAGAAGCACGGAACGGTGCCGTGTCAGCGTCAGAATCTCGCTTTTATGACACCGGGCGGTCGCCGCTTGCGGTATAGATCAGTCCAAGCAATTTGGAGGTTTGTTTGTTTTCTTGGTTATTTAACGACGCATCAGTCAGACTTGACTATTAGCGTCGATTCTTCTGATTCGTCTTGCTGTTCTTCGGGGCTAGAAAGCCTGGCTAAAGCCAGTGGGTCATAATCGAGTCTGGGGAATGTGAAACAGGTATACCAGGAATTTGGAATTTGGAGGAATTTGGAGGTCTGAGGCTGTCGATATTTTTCAACAAAAAAGGGACTGGTTGATACCAAGCTCAAATAAGAATGATGGGTGTCCACGAATTCAAATTAGCAGCTGTAATCGAATTCAATCTGATCTCAAAAGCTGCGCTTTCGTTGCAAAAGTAATTTGGACTTCTGTTCAAAAATGAGAAGAATCGTCAGTGAAGAGAAGCGTAACATAGCAACCTGCTGTATTCTTCACAGAAATCACCGAAAAATATCGAGTGGCGTAGCAACCTGCTTCTGGCAATCCCTCCTTCATCTTCAGCGACATATGCTGAACACCGTAGTTACCGCAACACTGCCCAAGAATTATATACCGTATAACACGCGTGTATAACCCAACTCCCAAGTATAACCGTAAAGTGTAAAATGGTATAAACCGTGGCACGGCAAAAACCTATATGTCAACCTATATATGGTATTTTTCATATATATCTCAACTATATATGGCCTTGATCTCAACACCGGTAGTAACGTATATTTATTTCACAGGTACCACATTCCAATATATTTATATCAATATAGATATAGGTACACTGTGGGTAGTGTGGTTGGGTAGGTACACTGTGTGACTGTCTATGAATATGCCTTGGCGGCTTTGCTCAATCAGAGTATATTGATATAAAAACTGCTCAATGTTATATCAGTATAGGATGAGGGAAGGACTGGCTGTGTCGACAGACGTTTCAGGTTTACGTCAGCCTGGGGGCTGGGGCCCTAGGTTGCTACCTATATGTGAAGATGTAGTCCAACTGGTAACTGGTAGGTTGTAGGTTGGTTGGAACTTGGATGTAGGTCAGTAGGCTGTAGATTGCCGATTCAGTCGGGGGAAACTATGGTAAAATCTGCTATTTTTAGCAGTCTGCTATTTTTAACAGAAATCTGCCGAAAAGGGTAAGCATGTGACGTCATCTTACCCAAATATAGCAGATTTGGGTACGGCCCCATACAAAAGCAGATCTGCACCCTAATTGAAGCAAATGCGCATCAAATGCCTGGCAGATTCATGATTAGAATAGTGCTGAGAATGTCCTCTGATATTTTTGTTCAGATCCGACTTTTCAAATTGAAATAATGAATTTGAAAAATAGTCGGATCTGAACAAAAATAGCAGAGATCACTCCCAGCACTATTCTCATCATGAATCTGCCAGGCATTTGATGCGCATTTGCTTCAATTAGGGTGCAGCTCTGCTTTTGTATGGGGCCGTACCCAAATCTGCTATATTTGGGTACGATGACGTCACATGCGTACCCATTTTTGGCAGATTTCTGTTAAAAATAGCAGACTGCTTAAAATAGCAGATTTTGCCATAGTTTCCCCGACTGGATTGGCACCTAGGTTATAGGTTGGTAGGTTGTTTAGTAAGTTCATCAGTCTGTTACAGCCTTGAGGTTAGGTCACTGGTTGGGTTAATCAAAGTGCAGGGGCAGGCAGGTATCCTTTAACTGAGGAAACAAACTTCCAATGAACAAGGCATGCTGCTTCAGTGGAAAGCAGGGCTGCGGAGTCGATGGATTTACGGCGACTCCGACTCCGACTCCGGCTTTCAAAAACCAACTCCGACTCCGACTCCGACTCCGGGCAGAAATGTCGACTCCGATCGACTCCAACTCCCGACTCCGACTCCGCACACCTGGCAGGGCTGCGGAGTCGACAGATTTTCGGTGACTCCGACTCCGATTCCGGCTGGGGTTTCCAATATCGACTCCGACTCCGACTCCGACTCCGGTCAAAACTGTCGACTCCGACCGACTCCGACTCCGACTCCGACTCCGACTCCACAGCCCTGGTGGAAAGACCACAATTTTTCTGGCTGGACCAATCATTTGTCTCCCGCTTGTCAATCAGACGAGGCTTACCACGTTCATCACAGGCGTGATCGCTCGCCATGGGGTGTAAACAAGAGGAACAGTGCCGAGTGAGTGACACAGATCACTTGAGAGTTGAGACCATGGACAGATCATTCTTGGCCCGACCTAGTCAGCCAGATACTGATTTTAAGCTCAAGCCAGATATTGAGAGCTGGAAGCAGGCTGGTGGCTCTATGTGAGCGACACTCATGTCACCAAAGTGACTTTGGACAGGATACCGAGCAGAAATAACGAGGGGGCTGCAATACATGCTGTTCTATGAAAGGGTTATGTGAGATGGGCAATTGGGCATGGTAACTGTGTTTTGTCAGCTTCGTATGAGAGCATGAAAAATGTAATTATTTTTTGTCTCTTGCTAGTAATGCCATTTAAAGGGACTATCCCACCTTTAACATGGGGTTTGAGTTGAGATAGCCAAGTTTGCGGCGAGGTTCAGAAACCACTATCTATCTAGGTTGCAACCCCTGCGGCCTCTTGGTGTTGAAAAAATTCGTTCCCTTCATTTGAAAATGGGCCTTGTGCAAGGCCCTATCTTCAACATGGAGCGACCGTTAGTGTGACGTCACCTCGTTTAGTCATTCTGATTTAAATGGGTTTGTTCGTTGAAAAATCGCTTAAAACTTGGTCTGAACTTTGTTGTGGTGCCTACAGAGTAAAAAGAATCAGCTTTATGACAGTAATGTGGCCTGGGGAAGGAGGTAATTTTGGGCTGTGACGTCACATATTTGAAAGTTTGTGTTTGGAATATGGGAAGCCTAAGATGTTCAATGAAAAATAAATGCCAGAACCGTGTTCCTGGTCATCCAATCTATAAAGTCGGGCACCATTTAACTGGTTTTAACAACATTTTAGAAGGTGGGATAGTCCCTTTAAAATGGTTCATGGAAATGAGTGACGGTTATAATTTAGGCTACTTTGTTTTGTCTAAATGGCATAGTATTTAAACCTAAATTTGAGGATGTATTCTGACATTAATTTGTTTTCCCCCAAAATATCAAAATTGTTTCATGACTGTTTCCCTTCCTTGCAGGATATACCAATTCATTGTGGAGTCTTTTAGTCTGAAAGTTTAAGCATAGCAAAATGAAACCAACAGGACTTTTCCCCAGTGCTCAGGCTGAACTGGAAGAAGCACACAAGTCAAATAAGAAACACAAGAAGAAGAAAAAGAAGGCGAAGCGCCGACGGTCTAGCTCGAGCAGTTCGAGCAGTGACGGTGATCAATGGGTGGAAAAGCCTCCCACAACCACTGCTGCTACAGCATCACAGGTGTCTAAAAAGACTGCTGGCGACAGCCCTTCGACGTCTGGTATTAACGAGACACCTGCTCCGAAGCGCGACGCCTGGATGGCAGTAGAGGACATCTTTACGGGCGTAACTGCCGGCGAGGTGCGCGACCGGCGCCGGCAAACTAAACAGCAGGCACGCGAGGCGGAGGAGCGCCAGCGTCAAGCCGACTATGAAGCGCGCAAGTGGCGGGAGCCGACCGAAGGGTCAACGAAGCCGACCACGCCGGTCGGCGATGGTGGCGCCAGTTGGCTGCGGCGTGCACTGCAGCGGGCCAAGCAGCAGGCCGCCGAGTCTGGCAGGCCGCTGGAGGAGATTGTCGCCGAGCGCTGGGGCTCGATGGAAAAGCTGCAGTCGATGCTAGACGCCGCCGAACAGAGGAAGGCACCCGCCCAGTCTGACTCTGCACCACACAGGGGTACGAGAGAGCGTGGCTGGCGACGAGGCTCCGAGCGGCGTCGTAGCCAGAGTAGGGAGAGGGAGCGAGACAGAGACCGAGGCAGGGAGCGGAGTAAAAGCAGGGAGCGAAATCGGAACAGGAACATCGAGCGAGGACGAAGCATTAGTTCCGAGAGACGGGATAAAAGCAAGGAACGGAGACGCAGTAGAAGTAAGGAAAGGAGACGTAGTAGAAGTAAGGAACGAAAAATAGATGAAAGTCGAAGCATCATTCGAGAACGAGGTAGAAGTAAAAGCAGGGAAAGAAAACGGAATAGAAGCAGGAGTAATGAACGGAGAAGGGATAGAAGTGGAAGTAACGAGCGAAGACGAGGTAGGAGCAGAAGCAAAGATCGAAGTACAGAAAAGAAACGAGGAGATCGGCGAGATCGGAGAAGCAATGAAAGAAGTCGAAGCAGGAGTGTGGAAAGAAAACATGTTGCTGATCTTGACAGGTCATCAATCGAAAAGAAGCATGCTGACCTTGTTTCCAGTGGTGTTGATGGCCTCCCCGGGACAGTAGGAAGTGGAAATGCCAAAAAAGCAGAAGATATCGCACTTAGCAAAGATTCTTCTCGAGGTGAATACACTAGACTCCCCCCGCTCGGCTCAGAGTCCGGCTCAGATGACGAAGACGACGCTGGAGCCTCGAGTCGCACGGCACCGCCACGGCCGCTCACAGACAGCGAGATGAACGCGCTCGCTGCCAAAATCCTCAAGGCGGAGCTGAACGGTGACGATGACGACGCGGCAGAGCTGCAGAAACAGCTAGACGCGGCTCGGCAGTTACGGGCCGCTGGGGGCGGGGCGGCACGAACAACAGAAAAGACGGAGAAAGTGGTGGTTGTCGTTGGCAAGGGCGAGCGTGGTCCGAGCAGCGGTGACGCCAGACCGAACAAGAAGCGCAAGGCGGACACCCATCGCGGCGGCGAGCGGACTAAGTATTTTGCCGACGACGATCGGCTCAACTTGCGTGACATGTTCGAGCGCGAGCGGCGCACCACGCCGGCAGACGAAGCGGCGGCGCTGGCGCGCCTGGCAGCGCGAGGTGTCCGCCAAACTCGTCATCACGACGACGATCATGGGCTTGACGAGCAGCTGGCTGAGCGCGCGGGCCGCGCTGAGCCGGAGCGGGCGCAGGACGAGAGGTCAGCGGCGCGGGCGCGCACCCAGCACCGGCACATGGAGCGGTGCACGCGCTGCTTCGACAGCCGGCACACACTGCGCCACTTGATCGCCGCGCTGGGCGACAAGAGCTACTTGTCGCTGCCTGCCGGCCGCTCCGTCACGGACCACCACTGTCTGATCGTGCCGCTGCAGCACGCCGTCAGCCTCACGGCGGTAGAGGAAGACACCTGGGAGGAAATGATGCGGTTCCGCGCCGCTGTCGTCGCCATGTTCGCAGCAGATGACCAGGACGTTATTTTCTTCGAGAGCGCTCTGAAGCTGCAAACGCACCCACATACCGTGCTGCACTGCGTGCCGGTGCCGCGTGAGACCGGTGACTTGGCACCGATCTACTTTAAAAAGGCTTTGGAAGAGAGTGAGACAGAATGGAGCCAGAATAAAAAGGTGGTGGACTTACGCGGTCGTGACGTGCGCCGCGCGATACCTAAGGGTCTACCCTACTTTTTCGTGGACTTCGGAATGCAACCCGGCTTTGCGCACGTGGTGGAAGACGAGGACATCTTCCCGGATAACTTCGCACAGGAGGTGATTGGTGGCATGCTCGAGCTGGATCCGACCGCCTGGCGCCGCTCCAAGAACGAGACACTCGAGCAGCAGCGCAAGAAGACGATGGATTTCACCAAAATATGGAACCCACACGACTTCACGAAGGACGGATGAAAAGCCTCGCCGAGCTCAAAGCAAAGGTGTGAATTGTTTTCATGTGTTTTATTTGGCCCGATTATATCGGGCAATAGTTGGGTTGTCAGCAGCCCAAGGGATGATGACTAACGTTGCGTGATGTTCATTATCCTCTCAATTCATTTGTGTCACTCCTCACAAAATACGAATTGCAGCAAATGTGATCGCATTCACCTGTCCATAATACATATATGCTTTGCAAGTGGTGCTCATCGTAAAGAGCTTACTGTGTCATCCCTCCCCTGTCTGTGTTTCGTTCTGGACCCTGGATAGAGGCCGCATCGGCTACAACCAGAGATGCTCAGAACTCTTTCTCACGGCTATCCGTATCGCTTCCGCTAGGAATCCCTCATTATTTCCCTTGTTGCGGTTCAGAAACATCACAAAGGAGCTATTCCACACATGTAACGGTTCGTTTCTGCAACCAAAACACTACGCAGTCCTCCCACAATTAATGTATTGTACACAAGCAAATGACACTAGCTCACTTCCCGTATTAACGTCAGTCCTCAGTAATGGCTTATGGCCAAGGCTCCTTCTCTCCCGGCTTGAGCGTTCTGCCGTATAGCGCAGATTTGTTCCTGAACATGGTCATCCTCTGGTCCTCCAGCTTGTCCAAGTACCAGCCGCCGAAGAACATGGCCAGAGGCAGCAAGGCCGCCAGCGGGTTGTTGACGATGGGAATCGGCATCTTGCGGGTTGCAAGCTGACCAGCTGCGGACAACAGGATGACGACAAGTGAGTATCGCTTGACGTGCAAAGCTTAGTGTGGGGTGTCTAAACCCAATGTCTTTTACTTCCTGCGTCACTGATTGAAATGCATATTGCTGTGCCTGTACCGAAAATAGGTAAGCCTTGAACAGAATCGTGGCTCAAACATCCAGGTTTGAGAAAAACTTTGCTAACCACCCAAAATAAGTCAACACACGGGAGGGCTCATGCTTTAAGACTGAACCATTAGATTAGTACATGTGAGCTTGTCATTAAGCGTCTCATGGGAGTATGCTGCCACAAAACATAATGTTGTTGCTCATTTGCATCAGGTATGCATGCATATTCGAGCGATACACGAGCTCTGTAAATACGTACTTCTGAGTACAATGCTAAGCGCAATGGAAAATCTGTGACCTAAGGTCAGGTGAATTTTGCGACCTCTCCATTATCTTGTCCATTATAAGTCAACGGAAGAAGATTAAAATCCGACTCTTCTGGACGCAAGTCAAACTTAACACTCAAACATCAGATTACGGGTAAACATGACACACTGAATCGGAAAATTACCACCCATGATCCCCTCTTTTTGCCGGAGGTCATCTCAGGTTAAAAAAGGTCCCCAGCAGTTTTTTTTTTGCAATAACTTATGATAGACATGCCAGAGCGCTTAAAACACCTCAGAGCTGTTCAGCTTGACGGAGTCCAGTTAGTCTCGGGGGCGTGGAAAAGCCCCTGCCCCCCCCCCTCCCCCCACCCAAACATGGAAAACACAGATCATGCGCGAGTTAATGTGCTTCGTCCTCCTCGTAGCCTAATGGAAAATGTGACACTGGTGCCTGTGAAGAGTTCGAGGTCGACAGAGCGCAAGCTGAAAGACCCGTGCAGTTATTCAGGCCAGAAGGCAACTGGCGAGAGAGCCACGCTGAGCCCAAGATGGCATTGTTGCCATCCACCTGCGGTACGTTAACCCTCGCCGGACCTATTGGTTTTCTACATACGCGCCAGCCGAAGCCCGAAGGTGGTACGAGTTACGACCCCCTTCGCCGTTTCGCCCCTAATGGAGCCAGAGCGTCGCGAAAAAAAAAAAACGAGCGTGTGCGCTGTTATGAGACGCAGCGATTGATACCCAATTTTAAGGCCTCAGGTCAAACGATGACCTCTGAGGTCAGGTCAAGTGGCCCAAGGTACGGGTTCGATTTTTGGCAAATAAATCAGCAAAAAAATGACAGCCACGATTTTAACGGTAGGTATTGTGTTCGCCTTGCTCAGGCGCATCAAATGGTTTACTTTTTGTATGGGTGAGGTCAACTTGAGGTGTTGACCTCGGACCTCGGATCAAAGGTTTATTTTATTTTATTTTATCCATTATTTTAACTAGTCACTTTTCTGGCTTTGATTATAAAGAAGCTGTGGCTGTGCTTAATCTTTTAATATATATAAATATGTTGTACTAATAATTATTTTATCAAAATTATGCATATGTACAGTTACATGCAATATCCCACATTAATTATTGATAGCCTGCCTTGAGCCTGCCCACCTCAAATTCACCCCTTCAACTGACATTGTCTGGCAAGCTCTGCAAGATGGTAGAATGTGTAGTTGTTGCATGCTAAAAGAAGGTTGAATGTGTAGTTGTTGCATTCCAAAAGAAGAACCAAATATTTAACAATGCCTTGTAAGCGAAAAACATTAAGCATCAGAACCAATACCTTCGGTTTCAATCTTCACATCCTTCATTCTTACCTGATGCATCCCAAAACCCATTGCAAAAAGTAAAATAAAGATAAGCTGTGCCCTAGGGAAATGGGATTTTAATTAAAAGATGAATGTCAATGGTTTATCTGAGCTGCCCATGTTGATGTCAATGTAGGACTAATACAAACTGGTATTCCTTTAAGTCGTTTATCACAGAGAAGTGCAAATTACCTGTCACTGTGGTTCAAAACAAGGCCCTATATACCGTTCAAAATTCAAAGGACAAGCCCTTGCTGAAAAATTGAACAACGCTTCACGATTGATAATAGTGCGGCTAAGTCAAAGTAGGTATTTGACAATTATTCACCTCGAAAGTAGCCTACGTCCGTCCACTAGCTCAGCTTGTTGCGGACACCAACGACGGCGATGCAGAGAAACGTCGGGAACGTCTGTGCCGCGCCACGAAAGGCGATTCGTTTCTTTTTCTTCTTCGTCGTGCGGCGTGCCTGTTCTTTGAAGCGCGAACGGCAATACTGCTCTCGGTTTCTATAGAAACCGCGGTCCGGACGGTCTGGTTATACTGGAGATTCAAGCGCCCCGGTGTCATTCATTGTTCAGATTTCAGGATAAATTGTGCGATATGTAGTCGATAAAAGCATCAGAGATGAATTAGGATGCTCCTGAGCGACGAGAGCGACGGTGAGCGAGTAGCGACTCCAGCAGCCAGCAGTCCAGCCGCCGTAGGCATAGGCGGGTCCAGAAAGGCAGTCTCGGACGTTGCGGAGGGGGGGGGGCATATTCCCGCAATAGTTTCTCCAGATTCGAAAAACCCTTGGATTTTGATTCCTCATACACTGCAAGTGTGCAGTTGAAAACAAACTTCTGCTTGTAAGAGTTCATTCATCGATTTCGGTCCTTGCGAGGGCGGCATTTGCCCCACCAAATGCCCCCCCCCTTTTATCCGCCAGTGAACCACCTATCGTGAGTCGCGTAGTAGACCGTTTTTGACATGCCAATAATTACAACTGGTGCATTGTACGAGCGAAATAATTGCGGTGAGGGGTCGGTGAGTACCAGTTCTCCGGTGCTTCCAGGCCATTTATTATCACATGGGGATTGTACTCGTGGCACAGTCTACATGTTATTACATTCAATCAAGGTAACTGATGTTCACCTCGCAAGTGGAGCATGCATATTGCATACATAGCATGCCCTTCAAACCGCGGAAACGCTCATACCGCGCGCATGATTGCTTCACCTCATAAAGCAATTGAGAGATCCGGACTTTTGATGACCTTGCAGGCGCTGCATCAATAGACGCGTCTGGGCTCAATGTGGGCCAAAAATTGCCACTGAGAAGTACAAACCGGCAAATCAGGGCACGCTGTAGAGGTACCTATTAAAAACAGATATTCACATAAATTGATATCTCGAGAACGAAAAGGTGCACTTCGAAAGTCATTCAACGATGCATCATAAAAGCTCTCATGAGAAAGCAGTATTTCTCCTGGCACAACTGCGCGACTCCAGGTAAGCGCGGTCCTTCTCGCACATAATCCTGTTTCGGCGATACTTTCTCATACGCGGAAATAAACGCAGCAACTGAGCTTCCTCGCCCGGCGTCTCGCACCTCCTCCAGGCACGTCAGTCGTCCTGGTCGGCGTTCGGCCTGAAGTGGTTGACCACATTCACTGTCCATGTGTCCTCGACACCCTTGGTGTAGTTTCGGATGAAGCGGTAATTGCAGACTGTGAAGTCGGGCATCTGGTACGGTGGCGTGAAGCCCTGCTCGCTTGGATGGTGCTGGTACGCGAAGTTGGGATGCACGTGCGCGCAGACCGTGATCTCGACCCAGCGCTTCTGCAACTCTGTGGCACGACCAGAATAGGCAATTAGATCATTTACATTATGAGATTACTAAGGTAAATAACCAACTGTATTCCCTGAACATTCATTTAAACTACCTACCTGGAGATTCCCATTTCCATTAAACAATTAAAGACATAAAGACAGCAGTAACCAGGCAAAACCTTAATAGTTACCTTGCTTTTATGGTAGATAAAGGAATAAAACGCTACTACTAACTGAAATATAACGATTATGATTCCACATACTAACACAACCTATGATAATTAAGCACTTCCGACCATCAACAGTGAAATCCTGGTGACTGGTCACATACCTTCCTCTTCCTCGATGATCATGCCGATCTCGTATGGAAAGATAGGCCCGATGTGTTCACTCTGCAGCCGTAGGTCGCATCGCTCCTTCACCGAGAGGCGGCTGTAGTTGCGCTCAATCTCGGCCAGTGCCTCGGGTGTTACCAGCCCCTGCAGGCCGGCAAAGTCGCCCCGTGACACGCGGTCGGACACCACCAGCATCGCCTGAAACGCAGCGGGAACTGCTGAAAAAAACAAGCGTTGTAGTGACCCCTTAACCCTTGAGACCTTATGCACTGACAATCATATATGAAATAATATCATAAGCACAGCTTCGTAACAAATATACCTTTATCGTGTAAAAGAGATGTGTGTTGCATGCAAAAGGACTTTCCATTATTTGGTAACTTACCTGTTTGGCTCCATCCATGAAGGACTTGAAAGAAAAGTTTGGGTCTAAATATGGCCTGATGATAAACCAGGTGAAAAATACATTTTTAGCCATTTTCATAAAGCTTGGAAACAGAATGTGGGGAAAGTCCATCAGGTTTCCAGACCTGGCAGCGTCAGTTGACATCATTTTTCTCTGCTCCAACATTATGGAGGAGAGAGGTGTCATTTGGCAGCAGAAGAGAGACTTTTGAGCAAAAGAGCTCAAAGTGTGCCCATGTGTCCCAACAGAAGTCCTCATGTGATGTGGTAATGGAGATGCATATAGAGCTGGTTGCATCCACATCCCATTGTTTTTAATAGCTCTTAAAGCCTGATAGGTGACTCTGTGAGTCATCACACTTCTGCACATCATTCTTGCTGCCAGTTCTGTCTTCAACTAGAAAATCTCAAGGGTTTGCTCCATCTGAAAAAGATTGAGATCAATGAAAGAAGTTCAGCAGATGAAGGGTGAAATTGGGGCCAAACCAACGAATATGGACAAATACAAAACTCAGGTAGATGCAATATAATACATGCAAATAAATTGGGCTTAGCAAAGGGAATATTAACCAAGTCTGATGCAATATATGACCTCAAAGAAAGCATTTATGAAACTCTTCCTTGTTACTGAACAAGGGGACCTGCAGCTAATCAGGCCAAACTCTCATGACAAAATACATTTGCTCTGAAACCAGAGGTCACATTGCACCTTCACAAGAGCCAACTGCAGGTGCATCAATCTCAGCCAGTGTCTCAGATCAGGATGTTGCGAGACTTTTGACTGGTTGTCACTGCGACTATCAAACAGTAGCGGCGGAACACCTTCAATTAACGGGGGCACTGCCAACTTTTGGTCCCATTCTTTCCGTGCAGCGCCAATAGGGCTGATGTTAAAATGCCAGAATCAAAGGGGGCACGGTGCCCCGGTGCCCTCCCTGTTTTGCCGCCTATAACGTCAAACCTTTCCTCCAGGTTGTTAAGCTTTGTCTAAACGGTGTCATTGGCTGACAGTTTTACCTGTTAGCCACATAAAAATTAAATCCATAACTTTTTCCTCTCACTGCTTAAACATTTTGACAGTACTGACGACTCAAAAGTTTGAAACCTAGGATGGAGGGAACAACCATTGAAACTAACAAAAGTGGCACCCATTTATGTGGACAGTTATAGCGACAATGCACTATTATCATTGATGATTATGACGAAGACAATAAAATCATATGATATGTACCTTAATCCAAAGTCTGAAAGTCCTATCGTCATATCATTAGCCAACCATTACGGGGTCCGAGTCAATAACAAACCACGAGGTGGTGTTCAATAGCTATCCTCTTCAGCGTTGTTAGCTGTTTGCGAACATAAAGGAACAAATCAACTACTTCGTTTGATTTCGGGGACGTTCGCGCTTCGCTAGCCTCGTCATTTTGAACACATATCCATTGTTGACATATGTGGCAAAATATTAGGAGACCGCTATTTCTTTTTATAGAAATAGCGCTAAATTGACAGCTAAATGCTGTCAATTTAGCAGCAGTTTGATATCCAACTACAGTTTGATATTCAAGGTGCGCCGATTTCGCCCAAACCTACCAAGTCTGTCACGCTGAGCACGAATCTGGTGTCTGAAATCCGCTATTCTCAACTGATCACCCAAATTTACCGTTTTTGAGTTCGTCCATCTACAGATTGACAAACTCCAGGGGCCCTTGATTTCGCTCAAAAATGGGTCTAGGGGACCAAGTCTGACACGCTGAGCACGAATCTGGTGTCAGAAATCCGCTATTCTCAACGGATCACCAGAATTTACCGTTTTTGAGTTCGTCCATCTACAGATTGACAAACTCCAGGGGCCCTCGATTTCGCCCAAAAATGGGTCTAGGGGACCAAGTCTGACACGCTGAGCACGAATCTGGTATCGGAAATCCGCTATTCTCAACCGATCACCCAAATTTACCTTTTTTGAGTTCGTCCATCTACAGATTGACAAACTCCAGGGGCCCTCGATTTCGCTCAAAAATGGGTCTAGGGGACCAAGTCTGACACGCTGAGCACGAATCTGGTGTCAGAAATCCGCTATTCTCAACCGATCACCCAAATTTACCGTTTTTGAGTTCGTCCATCTACAGATTGACAAACTCCAGGGGCCCTCGATTTCGCCCAAAAATGGGTCTAGGGGACCAAGTCTGACACGCTGAGCACGAATCTGGTGTCGGAAATCCGCTATTCTCAACCGATCACCCAAATTGACCGTTTTTGAGTTCGTCCATCTACAGATTGACAAACTCCAGGGGCCCTCGATTTCGCCCAAAAATGGGTCTCAGGGACCAAGTCTGACACGCTGAGCACGAATCTAGTGTCAGAAATCCGCTATTCTCAACCGATCACCAAAATTTACCGTTTTTGAGTTCGTCCATCTACAGATTGACAAACTCCAGGGGCCCTTTATTTCACCCAAAAATGGGCCTAGGGGACCAAGTCTTACACGCTGAGCACGAATCTGGTGTCAGAAATCCACTATTCTCAACCGATCACCCAAATTTTCCGTTTTTGAGTTCGTCCATCTACAGATTGACAAACTCCAGGGGCCCTCGAATTCGCCCTCAAATGGATCTAGGGGATGAAGTCTGACACGCTGAGCACGAATCTGGTGTCAGAAATCCGCTATTCTCAACCGATCACCCAAATTTACCGTTTTTGAGTTCGTCCATCTACAGATTGACAAACTCCAGGGGCCATCGATTTTGCCGAAAAATGGGTCTATGGGACCAAGTCTGACACGCTGAACACGAATCTGGTGTCAGAAATCCGCTATTCTCAACAGATCACCCAAATTTACCGTTTTTGAGTTCGTCCATCTACAGATTGACAAACTCCAGGGGCCATCGATTTTGCCGAAAAATGGGTCTAGGGGACCAAGTCTGACACGCTAAGCACGAATCTGGTGTCAGAAATCCGATATTCTCAACAGATCACCCAAATTTACCGTCTTTGAGTTCGTCCATCTACAGATTGACAAACTCCAGGGCCCTCGATTTCGCCCAAAAATGGGTCTAGGGGACCAAGTCTGACACGCTGAGCACGAATCTGGTGTCGGAAATCCGCTATTCTCAACCGATCACCCAAATTTACCGTTTTTGAGTTCGTCCATCTACAGATTGACAAACTCCAGGGGCCCTCGATTTCGCCCAAAAATGGGTCTCAGGGACCAAGTCTGACACGCTGAGCACGAATCTAGTGTCAGAAATCCGCTATTCTCAACAGATCACCCAAATTTACCGTTTTTTGAGTTCGTCCATCTACAGATTGACAAACTCCAGGGGCCCTCGATTTCCCCCAAAAATGGGTCTCAGGGACCAAGTCTGACACGCTGAGCACGAATCTAGTGTCAGAAATCCGCTATTCTCAACCGATCACCCAAATTTACCGTTTTTGAGTTCGTCCATCTACAGATTGACAAACTCCAGGGGCCCTTTATTTCACCCAAAAATGGGCCTAGGGGACCAAGTCTTACACGCTGAGCACGAATCTGGTGTCAGAAATCCACTATTCTCAACCGATCACCCAAATTTTCCGTTTTTGAGTTCGTCCATCTACAGATTGACAAACTCCAGGGGCCCTCGAATTCGCCCTCAAATGGATTTAGGGGATGAAGTCTGACACGCATAGCACGAATCTGGTGTCAGAAATCCGGTATTCTCAACCGATCACCCAAATTTACCGTTTTTGAGTTCGTCCATCTACAGATTGACAAACTCCAGGGGCCATCGATTTTGCCGACAAATGGGTCTAGGGGACCAAGTCTGACATGCTAAGCACGAATCTGGTGTCAGAAATCCGATATTCTCAACAGATCACCCAAATTTACCGTCTTTGAGTTCGTCCATCTACAGATTGACAAACTCCAGGGGCCCTCGATTTCGCCCAAAAATGAGTGTAGGGGGCCAAGTCTGACACGCTGAGCACGAATCTGGTGTCAGGAATCCGTTATTCTCAACCGATCACCCAAATTTACCGTTTTTGAGTTCGTCCATCTACAGATTGACAAACTCCAGGGGCCCTCGATTTCGCCCAAAAATGGGTCTAGGGGACCAAGTCTGACACGCTGAGCACGAATCTGGTGTCGGAAATCCGCTATTCTCAACCGATCACCCAAATTTACCGTTTTTGAGTTCGTCCATCTACAGATTAACAAACTCCAGGGGCCATCGATTTTGCCGAAAAATGGGTCTCAGGGACCAAGTCTGACACGCTGAGCACGAATCTGGTTTCAGAAATCAGCTATTCTCAACAGATCACCCAAATTTACCGTTTTTGAGTTCGTCCATCTACAGATTGACAAACTCCAGGGGCCCTCGATTTCGCCCAAAATGGGTTTAGGGGACCAAGTCTGACACGCTGAGCACGAATCTGGTGTCAGAAATCCGCTATTCTCAACCGATCACCTAAATTTACCGTTTTTGAGTTCGTCCATCTACAGATCCGACTATAACAACAGCGTGTCAGACGTGGTCCCCTAGACCCATTTTTGGGCGAAATCGAGGGCCCCTAGAGTTTACCCAGTAAACATGCCGACGTCGGGGTGACGTCGGCATCTCGGCATCGGCCGGTCCAACCTCGGCACGACGTCGGCTGGATGTCGGATATGCCCGCATGTACCGACGTCCAGCCGAGGTCCAGCCGACGTCGGGCCGACGTCGGACCGAGATCAATTGCTGAGGTCCAGCCGACGTCGGGCCGACGTCGGGGCGACGTCGGACCGACATCGGCCGCTGTTTTGACCGTTAAAATAATATAAAATACATGTTTCATGTTTCATAAAGAGCTTCTGTATTCAAAATATCCTCAGGAAACTCAAATCTTCCTCCACGCCGCAACCCCCTGATCCGGACTGGACGGGAAACTTTATCCCATTTGGGATTGCCCGTAAGCCGAGCTCGCCCGTAGCCGGGTGCGGTGAGTGCTTGGGGGCTGCTCGGCCTATCCTTTGGTCAGGCTCAGCCCCGGCAACTCACCAGAGCCGGGCCCAGTTCATATAGAAAGGCCAGTCGGCAAGTGTCACTTTGCCAAAGTGCCACTTATCAAAGGGACACTTTGGGAAACGTTGGTGCAGGTGTGTAAGAGTGGCTACACACCTGTACCCATTTTGGGCGAAATCGAGGGCCCCTGGAGTTTGTCAATCTGTAGATGGACGAACTCAAAAACGGTAAATTTGGGTGATCTGTTGAGAATAGCGGATTTCTGACACCAGATTCGTGCTCAGCGTGTCAGGCTTGGTCCCGTAGACCCATTTTCGGCAAAATCGATGGCCCCTGGAGTTAGTCAATCTGTACCCAGCCAGCAAATCGCTTGGGCTAAACTATGGCAAACGTCGGGCAGCTTAGGCTTAGCTTGGGTTTTCCCACTTAGATAAAAACCAATGCATTTTTTTCTTGGGCTAAGCTTGGGCATGCCGCAGCTATGCCCCAGTGTGGCCAGCTGCAGCTCAGCCCGTCATCCGCCCGCGCATCCAAAGCAGGCTCAACTTGGGCGGAGCGTGGGCTGATCAAGCTGGCTGTCTCCTTTGGCTAACTGCAGGAAAGCCAGAGTTTAGCCATGCTTGATCGGCTGTTCGCGCATGCGCATTTCTACGCCAGTCACGTTTTGGTCGGGCTTACATCGGGCTACCGCCAATCGTCGCTCAACTAGGGTTTAACTACGGTTGTCCGGAGCTCGCAGAGCGGGCATACCTCCGGCAGAGCATGGGCTTTAGTCGGCGTTTTTGTGTCATACGCCGACTTCAGCCCAAGCCCTAGCCGACTTTAGCCCGACTAAAATCTCGGGCAAGCCGCACTTTAGCCTGCTTGGGCCCGGAGTGAAATTGCTAGCTGGGTAAATGGACGAACTCAAAAACGGTAAATTTGGGTGATCGGTTGAGAATAGTGGATTTCTGACACCAGATTCGTGCTCAGCGTGTCAGACTTGATCCCCTAGATCCATTTGAGGGCGAATTCGAGGGCCCCTGGAGTTTGTCAATCTGTAGATGGACGAACTAAAAAACGGTAAATTTGGGTGATCGGTTGAGAATAACGGATTCCTGACACCAGATTCGTGCTCAGCGTGTCAGACTTGGCCCCCTACACTCATTTTTGGGCGAAATCGAGGGCCCTGGAGTTTGTCAATCTGTAGATGGACGAACTCAAAAACGGTAAATTTGGGTGATCTGTTGAGAATAGCGGATTTCTGACACCAGATTCGTGCTCAGCGAGTCATACTTGGTCCCGTTGACCCATTTTTCGGCAAAATCGATGGCCCCTGGAGTTTGTCAATCTGTAGATGGACGAACTCAAAAACGGTAAATTTGGGTGATCGGTTGAGAATAGCGGATTTCTGACACCAGATTCGTGCTCAGCGTGTCAGACTTCATCCCCTAGATCCATTTGAGGGCGAATTCGAGGGCCCCTGGAGTTTGTCAATCTGTAGATGGACGAACTCAAAAACGGAA